AAAGTTGAATCTTTCCTTTTTTTGCTAGTCCCTCTTGGTTTGCCAAACCATTTTCAAATAAATTATTTCACCATAATCACTCGTTTTTGCTCAATTCTTAATTAACTTTTATGATAGTAAAAAATTAATAACTAAATTAAAAATCATCTACCATAACAGTGATGATATTAATAAATAATAAAATATGAGTAAGAATTTATCCTTTTGATGATGTATGAATAAAATATATATATATATATACTAATCCCTGACAAGAATCATGAATTGTTCAAGTGGGTTTTCACTGAAGGATATACAAACAAAGAATAAATGGATTCTACAAATTCAGAGAAAACACCCCATGTGAGTAGGCGCGCAATTTCTTGCAGTGACATGGAATATCGTGGAAAGGTTAGATGCCAAGCAATTGGAGCGAAGAGGAAGCACATTTAGTCTGCTGAGTAGCAGTAGTGCGAGGGGTGTATAGAGCCCGATACTCTCGGAGTTGGATAACGAGGCTATTAACGAGGAACGAGACGTTTGCGATTCGTTAAGAAATGAAGAAGCAGAATGTCTGCAACAGATTGAGGAAGAAGTCGCAGAGATGATCAAATTTTGCAACATCCAGAAGAACGTCAATATGATGCTAAAAATCAGTCTTCATATTCTCGAGAACATGGTTAAGGAAACAAAATTAAAGTACGCAGAGGTGAACAATATTTCGATCGTCTTGGAGTCTACTAAAAAGTTTATTTGTGGTTAAATACTGGGCTAGCTTATAAAGCTAAATAATTAACTAATTTAATTTTTGAAATCTAACATGATGCCAATTGTCTGTCTTTGCAAGTTGAAGATTTGCAAACGTCTTAGAAATTACTAAAAATTTTATTTGTAGATAAATACTGGGCTAGCTTATAAAGCTAAATATTTAAGTAAATTAATTTTCGAAAACTAACACGACGCCAATTCTCAGTCTTTGCAAATCGGAGATGGAATCCGATGGTCTTAGAAATTACAAAAAAGTTTATTTGTGGTTAAATACTGGGCTAGCTTATAAAGCTAAATGTATAACTTAATTTAATTTTCGAAAACTAACATAACGCCAATTGTCAGTCTTTGCAAATCGAAGGTAAAACCCAATCGTCTTGGAATCTACTAAAAAATTTATTTGTGGTTAAATACTGGGCTAGCTTACTAAGCTAAATGTTTAACTAAATTAATTTTTGAAATCTAGCATACTGCCAATTTTCAATTTATCCAAATCAAAAAGAAATAACTTTTGTGCGATTCCACAAGTATGTCTGGTACACAAACATATAGAAATAGACTGCAATAATTATTAAAACTAAAGAAACTAATTTTATTATTTTCTTGTAAAACATCGAAAAATAGCTTCATAGGACAATAAATATAAAAGACTCATAGTAATAATGATAACAAAGACAATTTCCTTGAATATAAACAATTTTATTGGTGGATGTAAATGTTTTATTGCGTTCGAGAAGGGCAATTCACTTGGTTTCGTTTATATGATGAGGTAATAAAATATACATCAAAACTAATGACAGCTAAAATGACATTGTAGCTAAAATTTCCTTTTAAGTTTCTTGACTAATAAGTTTCACATAGACTATAATTTAAAAATCGTAAATTATATCATTTTTTCTATACGAGAATATTTTTATATCTTTCGTTTTCAATCTGTCATTAATTTGTTATCTGTTTGTTGTTATTTCTTGGTCATTATTATGGTGTTTACTAAAAATATTGTCATTTATTAACATAGATATATTTAGAAATATATTGTATGGAATATATCTATCCGGAAAATGTTGAATATAAAAATATTTTCCCTGAAGGGTAAAAAGACATTTTCTTTATGAAACGATGATTTAATTGCACTGCGTAGGCTAGTGCCAGTAATAGATATAAATGAAAGAGACAAACTTTCCACGACGGTAACTTGATCAGCCAGAGATGATATAGAAAATATAGTTTTATTTTTACAAACAGCTAATTTCGTTATTATTTTTTTTATTCCAAAAATGTCAAGAGATACAAAGAAAATATCAAATTCGCAACAGGAAATTAACAACTCTTCTAAAATTTGTTTAATTAATTAAAAATTGTCAATTGATGAATCGAATTTCACGTTACAATTTTGTTTTGTAGTATTTTAAAGAAATCGTAAAATAAAAGTTTAAAAAGATATTAAATTTTTTCAATAAGAAAAGTAAACGTAATGAAAAAAATATTTAGATCCGCTTTTTTGCAAGAAAGAAGAAATACGATTCCTGTTTACTGTCTAATTTGTCTTCAACCACGTTGCACATTCCACTGTCTATGCACAGAATTTCCGCCATCGATTTTCCATTACAAGAAATATGAAAAGATTCTGCTTTTATTCTTTTTTCGTTTTATAAGGGTTTACTCGCTGAAACCATACATTAGAAATCCAACATTTCCCATTCAGAAAAATATCGATGGATTGTAAAACTTTTGCCCTTTTTATGACAAAAACTTTTTTTAAAAATTTTACTTTTCCTAGAAGCTTTAAAAACAGAATTTGAAAATAAAAAATTCCTTTCAGTACGGCAAGGAAATTTACAAAAATTCGAAGATCGATATTCATATATATTTTATTGCATTTTAATTTTTTTTTTAAATTTTAATTTTTCAATTTATCGTTTCCCAGCAAATTTTTCCCTCGACTAACTTATATTCACGTCGATTGATCTCGTTTTGTTCTTTATTCAACTGTCACGAGTGAACTCGAGAATTCCAATTATGAAACAGTGAGACGATCGATGAATGTGGTAAGGGAAAATAGACGGGGGTTTGAGAGGAGAGGAGTGTCAGTAGTAGCTGACCACTTTACTATTCGATCGCACATAAGGTGTTTTTTTTATATTTTAAAAGTGAAAATAATAATCCACCGAAATGGAAACTGTAAAGTGCCTCTAAAATTGAATTTTAGTTTATCAATAGTTCAACATAGTTTTAACCTCGTTCTATGGTAAATAAATATCTACCTGTTGAAAACTATTGTTAAAATTTTCAGTATTTAATATATTTGTAAAAGTATAAAAAAATTGTATTGAAAGTTATTAAATATTAATAAATATAATCCAATTTGAAAAACAAATTAGTCAATTCACACAATACTAATGGATGAAAAAAAAGTTGAAACTATCAAGGCAAAATAACGACTTTAGTAAATAAAGAAACAATAATGCATAATTTGCACTCATCACGTAATTCACAATTGAAAAGTGCAAACATATAGATTGAAAAGTTAGTTTTCACATTGATATTTCATATAAAATAACGATCTTCGTCTTCGTACTTTTGTCACGTTCGTTTTCGTGCTGATATATATAGAGAAGAAAAAAGAAAGAAAAAATTCCTTTTTCGTAAAAGCAACGACATTTTTAAGATAGCACCACACGAATGAAAAAGAGAAAAATAAAAATTCTTTTAAAAATTACTTTCGATATCAAAAACTACGAAGATTAATGTCGCATAATAGATTTTCCATTCAGGTCATCTATTCTTTCATTTTGATTCACGTTTTTCTATATGAGATTTGAATTATTTCTTTTCACCAACTGTCATCGTAACACTTTATACGTATAAAGAATTATCACACAAAAATATTATTGTTTTCGTTTCTTTCAAATTTTCATTGCTTTCTATACCATTTCAATTTAAAATTTTTGAAAAGATTTCAAAATTAAAATAACAAGTCTAATTATTCTTTGTTGAAAGTTTTTCGTGAAGAAAGAAGGATGGAATACATTTATAAAAATGAAGGAACAAATGTAACGGAATTGTGTTAACAGGAAAAATCTGTTTTCTATCAATATTTCACGAGGATTACACAAAACTTATTCCCCTACTTTTTCTTTCTTTGTTTTTTCCGAGGGAAATTCACCACGATTCTCTAAATCCCCTGAAATCCGTTTATTTGACAATTTGTTTGTTCTCGAAGGGAGGGGTAGAGGTCACGAATGGTGGGTGTCTTCTGTTTTTTTTTGTGATCCAATTAATTTTTCCTCATTCTGATAAGATTATTATCATAAAAGTTGTAATAACTTTTGTAAATTAATCAACGTCGGGCAAAAAATGGTTTATATCATTTTTTCGGATAATTAATGTTGATGTATAATATTAATTCGATGTAACGCGTAAAATTATATATTAAGATATTTCTTTTGTCATACATAATAAATCTTTTCTATTTTTACCCAAAAATCCGTTATTTAATGGAAATATTTTAATTATGACAGTTTGAGATTACATAACTTGTATTTAAAAAGATTCGTAAGTTTTCAGGACTTATGGGTTTCAGACCAAAAATCGTTGTGAAATTTTTTTTAATTGACAGTTTAAGATTACATAACCGATTATTTACAAGGTTCGAAATTTTTCAGCATTTATCTGTTGTTTATGTTTAGACAAGTATTGGACAAATAACATATCAGAAGTCAGTAAAGCAGCATTGAGTTAGAAAATTTAATTTTTCAATATTTTCAACAACTTTATTCATTTACTGTCGGGAAAAATTGCCCCATCACGATGGTACAAGAAGGGTTTAAAGTTAAATTCTAATCGTTGTAAAAAAGAGATCGATTATTCTGTTAGGATAATAGCGAAATGTATGTTTAATGTTGTACGTATATTGTTAGTATAGAGAAGATAAATGGGATGTTCCTGTCCTGTAGAAACCGGATGTACCTACATAATTGACAAGTGACTTGACAATTTGCATTATTTGTACGGCTCAACGATATATCAAGAAACTGTCAGGACGAAGAGAGAGAGAGAGTGTGAGTGAGTGACTAGTTATCTAATGCGACAATCAGTGCATCCAAGTTCTCTCTCGGAAAGTTGGTCACGAGACTACAGATTTTGTACATAATACATGAATCATATTTAGTATCCACTCCAATGTAGAGAAATATTTATTTATTGGAAAACTTGTTAAGGAATTAGGAATAGTGACAAAAACACTTAAATTCTTTTTGATGAATTTATATTTTTACACGAACCAACAAATAAGTAAAATTGTCAACTTAAAACTTAAAAAGAATTTCCTTTCTTGTTGTCATTGAAGTGAAAGGAGGCATTGTTGTTTTCCTTTAGAAACAGGAGAAGTTAAAGTTAGTTTAGTACAAGTTGGTATACGCTTTCCTAAGAATTCGTGTGGTCGTGAATGGTGGGAGTATAACAAAATAGTTGTACAACATTGAAAGCGTCATTCCTCAAGTCTCGCTATTCATGGACTTAACTAGAGACGCCAAGTGTTCTGCATCTAAGTATTAACTAGCAATTTCAACATGCCTTCTCCTATACTTATTTCAAAATCGCTCATATTTCCTTGAATGACTCTTCATCAAACTTTATGTAACAACATACCAAAGACTTACAATCTAATACAATCAAAAACACAAAATTTCTTGTAACTATAAATCTACTTCACTTTGATCGAAGAATTAATTTCCCCATAATTCCTTCCAATCCCCCCGATTATTAGAAAATTAAATATCTTTTAAGACGCATACAGGAGGATCACTAGTCCACTTTCCATCATAGCAGCTCGACATTCGTTTTCCCGTCAGATTGTACCCTATATTGCAGTCATAAATCACATTTACCTCGCCAAATGTTCCGAAGGATGTTTTCAAAATTTCTCCATCTTGAATAGAACGTTCTTCCATGAAAAAGCAGTCAGTATCTGAAAAGAAAAAAAAATTTTTATTGGGTGTAAAGAAATTACTAAAACTAAAACAAAAATACTTACGAATACATCTTGGAAAGTTATCTTGCTCCCATTTTCCGTTGATACACTCGTAAAACGAATAACCATAGAGAAAATAATTCGAATTACAACTTACTTTTGCAATATTCCCTATTTCGTTTATTCTAACTCTCGCATTTTTGTACTCGAATAATTTACAACCTGAATTTAAGATATACAAAAAATCAAAAATTAAATCTTTGATAAAACCCAAGTATTTCTTGATTGCTAAAAAGCATTCACGTACCTATTGATTGATTCTCAATAGAAGATTGATGCACTTCTACTTCTTTAGGTTTACAAACAGGAGGTTTACTCAACAACTTTCCATTACTGCAAACTGCTGTATTCATTCCTAATAGTTTGTAACCTTCGTTGCAATTGTAAATTAAATTTATATTTTCATCATCAATTAATTTTGCAGCTGGCAATTTTCCATTTTCGAGAGCAAAATCGAAAGAATTTGGTAAACAGTCGTTGTCTGAAAGAAGTGGAATTAGAAATAAAGTATCGTTATGGAGGAAAGGGAAATAAGTGGAGTGGGGAGTCCCTCTCTCACGCTCTGTGGCCAATCACGTGCGAGGTGACTCACCACAGCGCTGGGTATATAAGTCGAGCTCGCTCACACGGAGTACCATTCGGAGAGGCACCACCGCAGGGTGAACACTCTCTAAACATATTTAACTTAAAACAAAAATTCGAAAGAATTAACAATTAAATAACAAATATGTCGCATAGTGAAAAAAAATTGGTTTTTAATAAAGACAAATCGTAAAAAAGTGATTTTAATAAAGATAAATCGTAAAAAATAAAACCCAACTGTAAACTTTGCCCTGTGGCACCACCCTAAAGGTTCTTAACAAACAGTAAAGGAAATATAATTTTTGTACCAATAATGATACTTACGGACACATAAAGGGTAATTCCTCTGCTGCCAAGTTCCCCTTATACAATAGAATTTTGAATTGCCGAAAAGTGTATAATTTTCCTGGCATTTTACAGTCGCAATATTGCCCGTTTTGCTTATGTCAACTTTTGCATTTTTATACTCAAAGGCCTCACACTCTAAAAAAACAAATGTACTTCCTTTAAAAATACTCTTAAGAAATTATTTTTTCATACTTAAATACTTTTTTGAGATTCAAAAGAAAATGTTTGCAATACTTAAGGAAATTAGCTACCAATCATTGCTGGTTCAGTAGTAGTTCCATATTGTCTCTCTCCGCTAAACTCACATCTAGATGGATCTTTATCCATCCATATTCCATCAATACAAGTTACTATCCTAAATCCTATTAACTTGTAGTTTTTATTGCAAGTGTAGGTCAAGCGTAAATCGCCATATTTTCCTAAAGCTCTGTCTGACACTTTTCCATTTTCAAGTGTATAATGTGTAGAATTATTTAAACAATTATTATCTGTAAACAAATTTTCCGGTGAACAAATTTTTTTTATTTTTTTTTCCTAAATTTTTATACCTATTATATTGGATACGTTGCTTTTCAGTCGACATATAGGTGGATGAGTTGACCAATTTCCGTCGATACAGATTGAAATGACTCGTCCTATCAGTACATAATTTTCGTTGCAAGAATAGTGCAAGAAATATTCATCTTGAATATAAATTTCGAATCGTCCATTCTTAATATTCTTTGTCGGAATCGACTTTAAACAATCGTTATCTGAAATATTCCATTTTTTTACCATTTTGTTTTTTATAAAAGGTAACATTCTTTTTAAATTTTTAATTAAAAATAAAATAAATTTTATTTTAAAAGTACTAAGTAGTAATAAGTTTTAATCTTTTAACAAAAAAAAATTAATTAAATTTTCTCATAAAATAAAATAAATATATTTGCTGAAATACTTACGAACACAATTGGGTTTTATTGAACTAGACCAAATTCTGTTAATGCAGCGCACTTCATCATCACCTTGATTTGAATAGTTTTGATTGCAAATTATTTTTGCAATATTTTGCCCCTCATTTATTGAAACTTCTGCATTTTTATACATTAATGGTCCACATTTTGATTCTTGAAAAATTAAAAAAAATTTTAAAAACAGATTTGAACAAAAATGTAAATGTTTAAATAGTTTTTTTAAACATACCTAACATTTGAGATTCACTGAATAAATTCTTTTCCAAAACGAAACAGGCAATTAGAATGATTCTAATAAGAATAGAAGCCATTTTCTCCTTTCTCTAAATATTCAAAGTCAAGTATTAATAATAAATATTATATTAAAAAAATATTTAAAAAATAATATTGAAAAAATTATTTTAGAAAATAAATGAATAAAAATATTACTTTGTTAAAATTTAAAAAAATGTTAAATTAAATTCCAATGTTTTTTCGTACTTTAACAGAAGAAAATGAAAATTTTAATGAATTTAAAGTAAAAATAAATTTTCACAGCTTTTTATATGACGTCTAGAGACATATTTGTTTACACAGAAAAAACATAATGTCATGTTAGAAAATAGTGAACAGATATTTTTTTATTTGTATTAAATTTCAATATTTTCTTATCTTATTTAATTCTTGTCATTTTATAGATCCAAACGTCATATAAATGTATAAAATTATTCAAAAACATATATTTGCATTTGTTTATTTAATATCGAGCTCATTTAAATTAGAAATAACGAATTTTTTTTATTGTTTCTATTCAAAAAGAGACATCGATATCATTAAGCAATAATATATTTTTTTCAAATACAATTCATTTTTTTTTGTTTTCTTTCCAAACCTTGTAGAATTTATTTCAACAATATTTACAATATTTGAAATATGTTTGCGATTAGCACTCACTTTAGTATATTTTTTAACAAAATGAAAAATAAAATAAAAAACTTAAAAATTAGTTCATTTATTGCTTTTGAAAGAAAATTTTAGGAAGGGATTTGAAAAATATGTGAAGACAGGGGTAATATTGCATAGTTTAGGGGTAATGTAGCATAAAAACTTAGGGATAATATTGTATAGTAATTTATGGGTAATGTAGCATAGAAACTTAGGGGTAATATTGTATAGTAATTTAGGGGTAATATTGTACAGTAATTTAGGGGTAATGTAGCACAGTAACCTCGGGGTAATTTGTCACAATATGCAAGGAAAAACTATAGCGTAGTTACCTAATAACTTAGGGGTAAAACAGCACAGTACAATAGGGGTAAAACTGTTCATTAATTTTTGGGGTAATATAGCACGTACCGTTATTAGAGCTAATATCCCACAATAAGAAACCTTGAAACTTTTTTTAATCTCCACACATCTGTTGATAGGCAATTTATGTGCATTTTTCACATAAAAATTTCATTGTTCTATTGACATTATTTGCGTATTGATATGTATCCATAGGCGCACATTTCTACATTTCCATATTATCATTTCAAGTTCAAGATAGGCCTATATGATATTACATCGAACATAGGTGACTCAACAGGTAGCTCTTTGAAACTCTAACCCTTGTCGACTCTTCTTTCCTTATATGTATGTAAACACTCACATATACTTATTCACACAAATATTTAAGTGTGCCTCTTTCACACACAACGATCAAAGAAGATAAAACAGTTTGAAATCAATTTTTCACTTTGACTACACCCTTCCGCTTTTTTCTTAGTTTACAAAAAATCACACTCTCTTCAAATGAAAGAATAGAATTTTTTTGTTAGATTTTTAAAAAATAACCATGTTATTAAAATCGATAGAAATTAAGTAAGATAGTGGTATAGTGACCCCAGGTTTCAATGCTATTTTACCCCTAGGTTTCTATCCTACTTTACCCCAAGGCTACTGTTCCATTCTACACCTACCCAGTGAGAAATTTCTCACCGGTCCAATATCGGTCCAATATTGGGAGCCAAGAGACCGATCATCGGTCCAATAAAGGCTCCCAATATTGGACCAATATGGGCTGATGCTTGGGATGTAACGGCATCGCCAATCATCGGTTGTCAATATTGGTCCAATATTGGCCGAATATTGGCAACCAAGAGAAAAAAATTTTTTTAAATAAATTTTTTTTAATTAAATAATAATAATAAAAAATAATTGTTTATAATTTTTGTTTAATATATTTATTTGTTTAATTATTTATTTTTAATAATTCATGTAAATAATAAATAATTTATTATTTATAAATTATAATAATTTAAAAATGCAGCAGCTATTAGAAAATAGCATTCTGCAAAAAAATTCTATCATTGAAAAATCAATGATAGGCGAGAGAAATCCGCGTCTTTAAATAGATTCGCAGATGATAGACAAGAGATATCCGCGTCATTAAACGGATTCGCAGATATACTCTGGTCTCGCGACGAATTTCTCGATACTTATATACACTGGAGTCGCCGTGTCAGTTGCGAGAACGGTTACAGCGTCCCTCTTTCGGCGGAGATAAGAATTGTCACGTAAACTGCGGGTATAATAAGGCGGTCGGTAAAGCGATTTAGCAGTTTACGTGACAATTCTTATCTCTGCCGCAAGAGGGACGCTGTAACCGTTCTCGCAACTGACACGGCGACTCCAGTGTATATAAGTATCGAGAGATTCGTCGCGAGACCAGAGTATATCTGCGAATCCGTTTAATGACGCGGATATCTCTTGTCTATCATCTGCGAATCTATTTAAAGACGCGGATTTCTCTCGCCTATCATTGATTTTTCAATGATAGAATTTTTTTGCAGAATGCTATTTTCTAATAGCTGCTGCATTTTTAAATAATTATAATTTATAAATAATAAATTATTTATTATTTACATGAATTATTAAAAATAAATAATTAAACAAATAAATATATTAAACAAAAATTATAAACATTAATTTTTTATTATTATTATTTAATTTAAAAAAATTTATTTAAAAAAATTTTTTTCTCTTGGTTGCCAATATTCGGCCAATATTGGACCAATATTGACAACCGATGATTGGCGATGCCGTTACATCCCAAGCATCAGCCCATATTGGTCCAATATTGGGAGTCAATCGGCGCCCAGCACGGCAACCAATATTGGACCGATATTGGACCGATTAAAGTCTATTGTCAATTTCTCACTGGGTAGGTTTTTATGCTATTTTACCCCTAGGCTTCTATCCTACTTTACCCCAAGACTACTATGCTAAATTACCCCAAATTTTTTGTGCCAAATTACCCCCAGAAATAAGTATAAAGTACATACCAGTTTATAAAATAATTTTCAAATATATATTGAAAGTTATGTAAGACTTTAGTCGACAAACTGCATAGTCTGTTATTACTTTCCAAATTTATATCTTCCCTCACGTTCGTGACTTTGGACAGAAAATACAAATAAAAAGTTCGATAAAAATGATCTATTCGCAAAAAGAAAAATATTTACTTTTACTTTTTCCACCATTACAAAATTTTAAAACAGTAAAATTTATTATGAAGAATCTTTTTGACATTCTTCATTTTCATTATATTATACTCAAAATCAATTATTTTCACATTATCTGAATCTGTATTTTATTCCTGATAACAGATTCGCATTAAATTTTGCTTCCCCTGGATTTTATTGTTTTATGATTACCATCATTAATTTATAATTTTGATCAATCAATTGTATAAACGATTCGTATATGTATGTTCAATTATTATATAATCGATTCGTATACAACATCTGAATATATAAAACGATGAACATTTTGAACAAAATATTTTCGAGACTAAATAATATAATTCACGATATTTAAATTCCCATTAGACGCATCTGTTGTTTTTGTATATATGTGAGCTTCGTAATGAAAAATTAAAAGAGAAAATTATAAGGAAAAAAAGAAATAAAAATCTTGATTTTTCTTTATGAAACTTTGAAGCACACCATACAAAGATTTAATAAAAATACTTTCATGAAAGAACTTAGAACTCTAATGGAACTTAATTACAAATAAAACCAAAAGTTGAAATTGAAAGAATAATTTTTGACTTGCCCTTTTTGGCAAAAATTTTACAGCAAGAATTTTTTGATAATTAAAAAAATACAGGCTTTGCACTCATCTACTAAAACCTACTATTTACTACTATTTTGCGTTATGCTACTATTTGGGTACGTTTTTTAGATTTCAGTCACTAAAAGCTACTATTTCTGTTTCTTTTTTTTTTAAGAATTTACTTTAAATTCGCTAATACTAGAAATCAAAAAACTATTCTCAAAAATCATAATCAAATTCCTTAAAACGATTCAATTATTTTCAAAAAATATTCGAAATTCAATTATTTTTAATACCTATAGTATTTTTATAAAATTTCGCAAAGGAATTCAATTATTTAAAAAAAATTGATAAAATTCATCCAAAATTCAATTATTTTCATAAATAATAAAACTCATCGAAGAATTTCAATTATTTTTAATACTATTTTAAATTAATTAACCGAAAAATTCAATTTTTATCATAAATAAAGTTTTTCCACGATAATTCAATTATTTAAATTAAAATTTTCATATAACATTTATTATATTTCGAAAAAATTAATTATTTAAAACAATGTTTATAAAATTCTTATAAAGAATTCAATTATTTAAAGAAAACAAAATTTTTAACATAAATTCAATTCTTTTTAAATATTTTAATAAAATTTTTCGCAATAATTCAATTATTTTTATGAATAATAAAATTCTTCTCAAGAATTCAATTATTTTTGAAAATTTTAATAAAAATTCTTAGCAACTATTCAATTATTTTCATAAATAATGAAATTCATCGCATGATTTCAATTATTTTTAATACAATTTTACAGGATTTGCTTGAAAAATGAAATTCTTAAAAATTTAATTTCAATTTTTCAATAAAATCAATTATTTAAAACAATGTTTTTTCAAAAATCTTTGGAAAAATTCAATTATTTACAAAAATATTAGAATTGTTTACAGGAATTCAATTATTTTCAAATATTTTAATAATATTGTTCGAAAGAAATCAATTATTTTAAATACAATTTTAATTACATTTTTTTGAAATAATTCAATTATTCTTTTAGATTCTAATAAAATGATTCCCGAGAATTTAATTATTTTGAGGCATTTTAATAAAATTCTTTGCAAAATTCAATTATTTTCCTAAATAATAAAATGCTTTTTAGAAATTCAATTAGTTTTAAAAAAATTTAATAAAATACCACACAGACATTTAATTTTTCTATTCTCAAAAAATTTTAATAGAATTCTTTGTAAAATTTAATTATTTTTAAAAAATTTTTGCAATTCAATGATTTTCAATATTTACTATTTTCGTAAAATTTTCAAATAGAATTAAATTATTTAAAAATTTTTTTGTAAAAATCTTCACAAGAATTCAATTCTTTTCATGAATAATAAAAATTTCTTAAGAAGTCAATTATTTAAATTAGAATTTACATAAAATTAGTCGAAAGAAATGAAGTATTTAAAATTTTTTATAAAATTATTCGCAGGAATTAAATTATTTTTCTAAATATTTAAATTCTTTCATGAATAATAAAATTCGTTGCAGGAATTCAATTTATTAGTTCGAGATAAGAAAGAAGTAAATATTTTTTATCAAAATTGGAAAAAAGTCAGGAAAATAAAAAATATAGAATGGAATTTTTGTCAATTTTGTGAAGTATCTAAAACGAGTTTTTTTTGGTCGTCAAGTTTTTCGATAGCTACTTTTTTACTACTTTTTTTTTTAGTTTAAAAGCTACATTTTGCAACTTTTTTAAAATTAATTATCGAGTTCGAAGACTGAATACTTAAAAATGCTTTTAATTATTAATTATTTAATAATTTAATAATTTAATAAATTATTCAATTTTAAATGCTCTTTTAAGTAAATTGTAAAAAGGGGGGGGGGGAATAAGAATGAAATCGAAAAGCAAATATTAAATCGACTTTAATTGTCATTTTGACCCAGAAAATGATGTAAAAACTTTTGTACTTCCATTATAAATCATTTCAGTAACATTAATTTTTATTCTCAAGAAATAATCGCCAATTCTTATCGATAAGAAGTAACTTTTGTTCATCTGGAAATATCGATGTTATGCTATTTTTAGAAATATTTTTCCTCGCCTCCTTGTTGTACTGAAATTTAGAATAACTTGAAAACGAACTTTGATCATTTTTCTCCACAACATTTTTGTTTGTCACAATTGATTTATCTACCAAAATTTCTTCTATTGCTATACTGTCATCAATGTCAAACCCATCATTTTGATTTTCTATCATCGCAGAGAGAATATCATTCTGCAAGGTATTGTGTTGAAAAAAAAAGTCACCATGAGAGTGACTCGAGTGAAAGGGATCTAAAGATGATGAGGGGGATGGTATTTCACGAGGAGAATTTTCACCGAGAATTTGATATTGGTCTTTTCGAATGACGTATGTCTTATCAGAGTCCCTGCTTGTGATGGAGTCGAGATCGCAATCTTCATTGACAATATGGTCACTTGTAGTGATCGAGTGATGGTCCTCAATGTTGTCTATTTTTATTGAACTGATTTCATTGTCGAACGTCTTATCTGCTGAGGAGGAGAACTCTCTGAAAGACTGACGATCCTTTAGAATTTTCTTTTCCCTCGAGGAGTCGATCGATGAAACTACATTGGCCATTTCACCAGAGCCTTGGGTTAAAATTCCCGACACTTGATTGATAAGACTTCGGATGTACTCCAAAGTTGTTGTATCGCCCACCTCCTCTGTGATTATTCCGACAAGTTTTAGAGTTTTTAGCCCATCTTCAAAACGACCGAGTTTTAGTAATGATTGTCCGGTTAATAGTTGACCGTAACGGAACCATTTTTTTGAATTCGATAATAGGGAGAGTTTTTGACATTCTATGGATAGTTGTAATGATTGTGAGTATCTTTGACATTCGAAATGGCAGCGACCAATTTCGTGATGAATCCACGCCCTTGGCACTAAATCGTTGACTTCCGGTAGGAGGAAATTCCATGCTCGAGACAAAGCGTCGTAGTGATCAAAGCTGATGTGTACGACGCCCAAAATCACTAGAGATTTGGTAAACAATGCAGTATTGCCTGAGGCTCTTGCAGCATTGATCATTTGTGAGACGTTGTTTACTGCACGATCGTGTCTTCGTTGGGAAACGTTAATTAGCGCCAGACAACTGTAAGCCTCGACTTGATATCGATAGGGTAGTTCCAATCCTGATGAGAGGAAAATTATCTCTCTGGCTAATTTTAACGTTGAATCTACATCACCGGCGATGAAGTGTTCTTTGAGATTTGTCAAACTGGTATTTGCTTGGAACAATAATTGACGTTGCATCATTTGGGTGCGTGACACTCTTTGCACCATGTCGCTCGACATTGATGATGAGAGCTTTTTGATTCTTTCCCTCCGATCCAAGAACCTTTCAATAAAACAGAATTAGTATGAATCTCATTATACTAACTATTTTCCTACTATTTCTAACTATTTTGTTTGTACATTTAAAAACAATAGATTGACTATTGGGGTCCCCAATCAAATTAAGTATTAACCATCAAATAGTAGCTAAAAAATTAAGAACATAGTTGGTAAAAATTAGGGTATGAATACCCCAGAGGGTTGTATTAACCATCAAATAGTAGCCAAAAGAATTAAGAACCAAGTTGGTGAAAATTAGGGCATTCAGACTTTAGGAACTTTAGGGAAAAATTACAAACATTTACAGATTTTTGTTCGTACAATATGCCGCAAGCGTTGTCACACTTGCGGCATATTGTATCAACAAAAATCTTCAAATAATTAATTAAAAGTTAAAATTAGGATATGATCTGATGAACTTAGTAATTTTAATTAATAAAATTCACTGTACATACTGGAGAATTTCGGGAAAGTCACGAGACGGATTGGTGGATTGTTTGACAATGTTCTCAATCCCAGCCAATGGGGTAGATAAGGTCGTGGACAATTTTACCCCATTTTGTGCCTTGGGCAAAAGCTTCCGTAAAGCCAACGACGATGACGACGACGGATTAGCCACTGTTGAGCTTACGGCTGACGTTGTCCCCCTTACAGCAACACTATGACTACTATTATCTGATGGATACATATTCACTGCTTTGTGATGTAGGTTCAAAGCCATCTCGTAATCTTCTCTGCAATATATGCTCACATGTATACTCTTAAGTACAATGGATAAAAAAAATTTTCCAAGTAAAATAAAATTCACTTATGAAATTAAAAATTCTGGTCAATTTTTCAAGATAGTAATGTCTGGTATTAATTCTATTTTGTAATCTAATGGGTGCCATTTTACCGGCTGAGGGTAAAGTTTCTTCATTCCTTTACCCTCAACTGGTAAAAATGGCACCTATTAGATTACATATAGAATAGTTATTATTAATATAGCAGATATCATGGTGCCATTTTTACCGAGTGAGGGTAAATGAAAATTTCAAATTTATTGCCCATAAAGAATATACGGTGCCATTTTTAACCACCAAGTGTAAAGAAGATTTCTATAATTATCAGTTATCAACAATAAAATTTGCTATTTGTAAATAATAATTCCCCTTGATTGCTATAACCATAAAACTAAAAAATTATGGTTTTGAAAGTGCCATTTTTATCATGCGTGGGTAAAGTAAATTCCTGCAATTATGGACTAGAATACCCGTTATTTGTAATAACCATCGATAGCAAACATTAAGGTGCCATTTCGAAATGACATCATGATCGTAAGTGGATAAATGAAAATCCTACATTTATCGATCGTAAAATCGGTTATTTATATCTTCGTAACCATAACTACTAGACGGTGACATTTTAAAGAGACATAATCGATATACTAACATTTACCCTCAGTAGGTAAAAATGGCATATCAAAATTGTAAAACAAAAAAATTTTTTAAACTAAATATTAGAAAATAAATTTTTTTAAATTGAAGTTTACCGAAAAAGAAAAATTATAAATTACAAGAATTTATTATTCTCGTAATTCACACAAGCAAGCAATTTAAGAAAATTGAAACAAAGAACTCTTTCTTCATTTCCAATACAGAAATTTTTTTTCAAAAACTTTTTTTGCAGCTAATAATAATTTACGACCTTTATTAAGAATGTACAGTTTACACCCTTATGATTTATAATCGACTAGGAGAAATAGTTTTCCTTTCTCTTTTTTTATGAGGAAATGCGAGAAAATGTAATTTTTTTCCAAACTCTTTAGGATTTTTTTTTCCTTCTTTTTTTTGTGTGTGTTTTAGTTTCACGAGGATAATTTTCATAAGTTTCACTTTTTATTAACAAAGTAAATGGGCACAAATCGTAAAATATAATCTCGAAAGGAGATGGTTTTAAATCCACAAGGGTATTATTTAATAAGTACACGATTTCTAGCACTGGTTTTTTTTTATCATTTTTTTTTCTTTTTTATTAACTAATAAACATGCCTTCATATTTATACGGTTGTAAATCTTTTTTGTTTTACTGCATTATTATTATTTTTTTATTTATTTTTTTTTACAACTAAAATGAAATGTAAATTTTAAGAACGAGAATATTTGTGGGAAAAGGAAATATTTTTTTTTTCAATTTCTATTTCATTTTAAATTAATTATTTATTAAAAACTTTCATAAGTGAATTAATATTTAATTAACAAATAATAATAATAATAATAATAATAATAATAATAATAATAATAAATTATAATAAATAATTATAAAAATAGTGAATATAATTATTAAAACTGTGAAATAAATTATTAATATTGAAATTAAATAAAATTAGCAGAAGAAAAGACTCGTTTTTGAAATTTAATTAAAAATTTATTTAACCTCAAGTAATACTGATCAGCTTCTCGATGCAACAATTTTGCATAATGTCGATCGTTGCCGTGTAAATGTTTGAAACTTTTCCTACCCCTCTCCACGTGTTGAGCAGATTTTTCAACTTTCGCGATAGCAGACATTGGATCATTATTTTTATCTTTTGAACTCGTGTTTGAAAACCATTTGGGATTATCACTTTTGTTATTATAATATTGTCAATAAATATTGATTGTCAAAAAACTAAATCTTTCCCAATAACCATTTTATAAATGTCTTTTTATTCTTCAAAACTTTTTCATTTATTGAGAATAATTTAATTTGTTTATTTTCAATTTTTCATTAATTAAAAATACCTCAATCTGTTTGTTTTAAATTTTTCATTAATTAAAAATAATTCAATTTGTTTATTTAGATATAAAAAATTTTCTCGATTATATTGAATACAAAATGAAAATTATTTACTGTTCAATTATATATTTTTTGTCATATGGAAATTATAGAATGAGAGTGAAAAATAATTCAATTTCTGAACGTTGAGAGTAATAACTGTCACTTTTGATTGTAATTTATTATTATTTGTTCGGTCAATTGTTTTTTTTTTCATTAAACCAATTTTTTTAGGAAAAATTTTTTTCAAATTTTCTTTATTACTTTAGTGTAAAAAATTTCGTTTGGAAAATAAATATGAATAAATAAAAATATAAATATAAGTAAATACAAGTAAATATAAATAAATATGAATAAATAAATAAAAATAAGTAAAAAAAATGTAGAATATAAATAAATAAATATAAATATTTAAAAATATAGATATAAGTAAATATAAAAAATCAAAATGAGTAAAAATAATAAATAAACAATATTTATTAATAAAAACAATATTTTACTTAATATCAATTATTACAACCATCTAAACACATTTTTTTACAGTTCAAAATGAAAATCGCTTTATTTATTAATAAATACAATAATTAATATAGTTTGAATTCTATTAGCAGTAATGAGCCAAATGATTTGAAGCGAGTTAATTACATAATATGTATATATAGATGCGCAGAGTGTAAATAAATTCAGTCATTTATTTTAATTACCAGTCAGACTAATTAAATTTCATCTGGAAGTCCGAAAATTAAGGGGAGGGGAGGTGGTGTTGGTGGTAGGGGGCAAAAAGGATAATTAATGTTTAAGGATCTACTGTACGCTGTTGGTCAGAACTTCTAATTGAAATCCTAGCTTTCGGATAAACTTCTTGATAGGTTTCAATTAGAGACAGAGTATCGAAAATTTAATTTCAATATATACAATATCGATTTGCTCGATTAAACCACCAAGAAATAACAATATATAAATACATACACATTCAATCTAAAAATAGATTTGTTACTTTTTAACAAATTTTTGGTTTCTTTAGTTTATTTTATTTGTTTTGTTTTATAAAAAATTTTATATAGAAAATTTAAAAAAAAGTAACGTAAGTGTGACATGTTAGAAATTTTATTTTAAAAAAATGCAACAGCAATGTTACTTTTAAGTAACATTAATGTTACTTAAAAGTAACATTGAAAGAGATATAAAGAATAAACCCTTGCAACTAAATGTAATCGTCAAAATCGAGAAGACCAGGAATTTTCTTTGACGGCGTGTAGAATTGAAGAAACGTTTTTCTCATTTCTTTTTCATGATCCCTCGGCGCACCACCACTATTACTATTATTGAAAATTGTATTTTTCTTATTATTGATCATTGAAAATGTAAGATTCAACTTGTTGTCAATTGGTTTACAACCGGGCATTATTGAAAATCGTCGATTCGATGGAATTACTCTCATTCGACGTAAAATATAATCCATTTTCGGTTTCAGTTCGATTGGCATTAAATCGACAATCAATTGTTCCCTTATGGCAATATTGTCGACAAAAGCCATTTTCTCAACATCCGTTTCATTGAGGATTTCAATAATTCCTTGATAGAAATCCACGAGATAATCAAAAAAAGAAAATGTTTTTCTATTTTCCTCTTTCAACTTTCTTGCGCACGACAATGCCATTAATGCTGCGTCCATTGCTTCTGTTATATTATTCTGATGTATTTCAATTCTTAATAATAAATGAGTGGCATTTATAAACCAAAATTCATTATTTATCTCCAAACTATTGTCACGTGATTTTCTCGCGTAATGTCTGGAAAAAATAATGATAAGGGCAATTTAAATTTAAAATTAGGTAAAATTTTTAATTAAAAAAAATTATTCGCAATTGGTAAATGCAAAACGTTTAATTTTGAAATAGTAAATAGTATTTTAAAATAAAAAAATTAATAAATAAAAATATGTATATTTAAAAAAACTCTCGTCATTTCGTTGAAAATAAACGATGAATTTTGCATTTACAATTTTCACCCTCATCAAGGAAATATCAACCTAATATTATTTAATTACAACTGACTCGCGCGCACTCTACGTCTTGATAATAATCTCATTGAAATCTTTCCATTATATCAGTTAATAACTGTATTGAAAATTTCATTTTGCTATTACAATGTAAAATAACAGCATAATGCATTTTGTCATTTATTCGACAATGTTCGCTCGTAATTATTATTATAATTTAATAAATAGTGACACTTTACAACCAATATACACATAATCTGGAAAATTAAATATTAAATTTAATCTGCATTTTAGATTCAATATTTGTCAACAATTCTGATATAAATTTAGAATAATAAATATTTTCTTTGTCACTACATTGGAAGAGAAAATTGTTAATTGCAAATTAATAACGAAAACAAAATTAATAACTAAATGTTTTTAATACTAAATGTGGCATTATGTTCTAATTGTTTTACAAATTAATCAACCTAATTTTAGTTTTACACAATAAGTGAAAAATAAGGGCTTATTGAAATTAAAATTAAAAATTTAAATTTAAATTCGAATAAAATTTTTTAAATTAGTTAATAGTTCATTAAAAATTATTATTTTATTTATTTTATTTATTTTATGGGAAATTATTAACAAACTAATATTATTTTACCATTTATTATTTATATATTTCAAAATTAAACGTTTTTGCATTTACCACAATTGTGAATAAATTTAGCTTAGTGGTTAAGCTACTGGACTTGTAACCAAAGAGTCGGGGGTTCGATTCCCGCGTCTATTTCAGATTTTTTCTTTGATAAAAATTGAGTTTAATTGGAAAAAAATTACCTTGCCCATTCGTAGCTATTTTTTTCCATAAGTAATTTACTGAAATCATGAAAAATCCAAGCAAGCTCCAAAAAATTGTTTGTCATTGCGAGTCTATTTTTAATTTCCTGTAGGGCCTTTTTCTTTTTTGCAGTTGGTACCCAACCGATATCCTCATCGCGCGGTAATTTTCCCACTTTTATTCCAATATGATGTTTTAAATAAATTTTTTTCATTTCTTCATCTTTTATTTTCGACAAATCCCTCGACTGAATGTACGTCAATGCAATAATATTATAGAGTTTCTCGAGACATTCATTTTTTATTGGCAATTTCTTCTGAGAATTATTGTCTAATAACGTTTTTATTCTCTCAGCTAATCTGAAAATTGTTTGTTAGAAAAAGAATCTTTTTATTTTTGTATTTTTATTACTATTTATTTTATTATTCTTATTTTTCAATTTTACCATTTTTATTGCTATTTATATACTATTTTTGCTATTTTTTAAAGTATTTCTTTTTACTTTATTGCGTAAATAAATTTTTTGTCAACTTTCTTACTCTTGTTTTAAAATATTTTCAAGGCCTGTTAAAAATTAAAGAAGCAATAATTGTAAAATATTTAAGAAAGAACATTTACCGGAAAAATCTCACAAAATCTCTATTCAACTGATGATTCTTGAGTGTTTTGAATAAAAAATGAATGCGATTGATGAGAATGTTTATTTTAATTTCGTTTTCACGTTGAATTGATTTTTTATGTCCCGGCGGACGGGAACGATGTTTAAATCGAAAGAAATACAAGGGCCGACGTACACGTAACATTTCCTGTCGATTATGTAGACGTGTAAAACACAATTTTGCCAAATTTTCCAATTCTCTGCTACTCTCCTTATTGGCAGACCATATTTCCGCTCTCTGTAGAATTTCTTCGACAAAATGCTTATCTTTTGCCAATGATCTCAGATAAATTTCAGCGACAAATGATTGATGCTTTCTTAAATATGCCTCTTTCTTCAATGTCGTATCATTGACTTTAAATTTCGATTTGTTCTCGTCGATTCCTAATATGTGAGATTTTTAATAAAAAATTATTTCAATCTTGTCAAGTCCAACATTCTTAAAATTGGAAAAAAGGTAATTTTATAAAATGGTAGGAGAGTAGAAATTGAATATAAAAAAAACCTTTTTCTTTATTGATAAACTTTTTTTTCTAAAGAAAGGTTTACGATAATAACCTTTTCTGGAGAAGAAAAGGACTGTTTAAGAGAGAAAAAAGCAAAAAGAAAAAGAAAAGGTTGATGGGATTAAAAAATGTATATCAGAACCCACCTTCAAATTCATCTTTTATCTGGTCCCCTTGAGCGTTGAGTTGTTTAAAAAAATGTTCCATCTCCTTTATCCAGGGATACAATTCCTTGAGAACGATAGACGAGGTATTATTACCAACGCAATCCTCGATAGTCTCATTCGCCTGATAAATGCCCCATTTAAAAGGAAATGGCCTCAGTCGACGGCCCTGATAAGCGTAAATCAGACTCTCCTCGAATTCAGTGATCTTATAGAGGGTCTCAATTCGAGCCCATATCACTTTATAGTTGTTCGGGTCTGTAACGTCCGGAAAAGTGCAATTAGAGACTAGCAGGGCTCATTCTACATTGTATATGTATTTGGGTGTGTGTGTGGCTCGAATTTCCTACGGTCACTTCTAACGAGTATCTACCCTATCTCAACCCTGTATAGCACATCATGCCACAGAACTTTGTACGGTCATTTTGGGTAAGTTTTCGAATGTCCGATTAGTCAACACCTATACTATTTTCAAACTTGAAGGATGTATATATGTATCCTCGTGATTGGATTGCAATTTGCCTTCATTTACATTTGTGAGTTAGTGCACGAGGGAAATTTAATTATATCTTTTACTGATTTCCTTTTAACATTACAAATTTTAGGTAAACATAAAAGGAACGCAAAGAAAAAAAATTATTTTAAAATCCACGAGAATTAAAAATTATGAAAATAAAAAAATTTCTAGAAGGTGAATTCGTTTTTAAAATGTTTCTAAACTGCTTTTAATCCTAGAACTTGCTATCTTGCTTACAAAAAAACTTATAACCATTTGAATTCACACAAGTGTAAATGTTGAAAATATCAAATTCCTTAAATCCTAAAAAACGATCTCAAATATATATCCTAGCCTATACTCGTAATGAGAGAAAAGTTAGAGAAAGTGTCAAGCTTCCTTTTGGTACCAACCGGAACTTGATATCTTGCATACCAGAAAACTTGTTTTATTATTGTCAATATAGTTAAAACTAATTAAGTTGGCGTTCGAAATTTGAAAAAAATTGTTATTTTTCTTAAAATAATCTTGAATTTGTATTGCAAAGATAATTATTTTGTATTGTTGAATGTTTTGTTGTATGATTAATGAATTTTTTTATAAAAGTTAATTGTATATTTAAGAAATAAATATATATATATATATATATATATATATATATATATATATATATATATATATATATATATATATATATATATATATATATATATATATATATATATATATATTTATAGTGTAAATCTAAATATACAAATATTTATGAAATAAATATATATTTAATGTGTAAATATACAAATATTTAAAGAACAAATATCTGTCATTGACCCACCAGTTTTCATGCACATGTCAACTATTTTAGCAGCTGCTTTATATTTATGTATAGAGGTGAGGGCACTCGTTAGACCCAACAAAGTTTTCAAATCATTTCCATCACTCAATTCCATTGACTTGATAAAGTACTCGATAGCTTTTACAAACTGTTTCAAGGTGGTAAAGCGACAACCCCATTCTCGATAAAGGGCAGCACCTCGGAATAATTCAGGTTCCTCTTCTTCCTCCACATGCTTCATTTTGTATTCCTTAATATTATCAATTTTTTTAATTATAATTTATTTACTTTCTGTCTTTATTTCTTTGTTTTTTTAAAGTAATAAATAACTAAGTAAAAAAATTTTTAAATAATAAATAAAATAAATATTTCTTGGAATTAAATCAAATTATTAAAATTTCATGTATTTTAATTTATTTCGTTTATTTATTAATTTTAGATGTATCAAAAAAAAAATTTCAACTATTAGTGAAAGCTTTGTAATAAATATTGGATATTTTTATGAATTTTTTTCCCCTATTTATTAACTTATTTGACAGAAGATTATAATATTGTTTATATTAGCAAAATAATTATAGAAAAAAAAAGAATTTTTCTAAATGAAAATTTTCAATTACAAAGTTTACCTGGTTATTTTAAGTTTTTAGAAAGTTGACAAGTACATACAGTTTTCAAAAGGTTGTTTTATTTTTCTATATTTATATAGAAGTTTTAAACAATTTTTCAAAAAAAAAGTCTCTTAAATCGTTTTCAACACTTTTGGATAAACTTTTAAAAATTACATTTTCTGCCTCGCGTAAACGTGAATTTTTCCTTTTTCCAAAAAGTTTTACTTTTTACTAATTTTGCTATTTTCGTCAAAAGATACAAATGGAAAATTTTGTCAACACGATCGAAAATGAAAATGAGGTTACGTATATTTGTTTACTAAGAATTTAGGAACGAACAAAATGTAGAATTTAGAAAAAATTATAATTTTTCGTGTAATTTTTTTAATTACAGAAAAATTTTCTTTATTAGAATTGAAAACAGAAGTGATCAAATATTTTTTCTTTCCCTCTTTCATTATTAAACTGTACAAATAAGTATGTGGAAGGTCAAAAAAATTTCCAAACACTTTCCAAAGTATTTTCTTCAATATTCTAAAGACTTTTTAAAAAGAAACTGAAAGTAAAGTATAAAGTTTACTAAAAAGGAAAAACGTTCTGGAATTCTTAAGTAGCATTATATATTGTATTATTCAAAGTGCCTCCAAACTTGGCTAATCTTCAACAATTTTCTACAAGTTTGCATTACGTATAATTTAATCGTATTTTTTTTATAGATAACAAAAAAAAATTTTCCTTCCTTCAAAGTAGCTTATTTATAAATAATGACCAACTTTCTCACTTTACAATCAAAAATCTTGTATTAACCTATTTTCTTTTTCAAATTGTATATTTTTATTTTAAATTTACCCAAAAGAAAATGAAACGAAGTTTTATTATTTATCAATTATATTTATTTAGGTAATTATTATCATTTAAATACTTTTTTCCTTTTTTTATTGTTATTTATTAAATTTATTATTATGTTATCGTAAAACTCACTTCTAAATCACATTTCTTGTGACATTGAACATAAAAGAAAACTTTTTTCTCTAATTACAGTATCATCAGAAGGTAAAGAGCTTGAGACAAGTGCCATCAGTGAAGCCAACAATTCAAGTGTGACACACTCGGGATGCGGTGATGGCTCTTTTGTATAGATTCGCGCAGCTGCCAGATCGCGGTGGCACGCGAGTCTTTTCCTTTGTAGTGACAAGAAGCGTTGTCCGTGATCCCGAAAGGGACGTCACCAGCAAAGAGCTGGTCTGCGGCTTTCAAAGATGGGCCGTTGCATTTTCTCGCGGAGACAAGGTATTTTTTTTTCATCCCTCTTGCAAAAAAAAAAATGTCAAAAGAATTTTTTTTTGCACAACAAAAGTCAAAGAACTATCATCGCATATAAAGAGAGAGAAAAAAGTTCAAGAATTTCCTCCCGGGGGATTTTTAAATAAAAAAAATTCTTTTTACTCTTAGCCCCCTTGACATAACTTTTTTTTTGATAATGTTGTAGATAAGAAATAATGCGGACGGGATAAATTTATCTGTTGTTATCAAAAGTGGGATCAACTGGAATTTAATATTAAAAATGGGTTCTATTATTTAGATTTTAATATTAAATAAAGGGGCTATCTTTTTGTAGATTTGGAATATATTAATAGGGAGAGATTTTTTGAGAAGTTACAAAAAGGGGAAAAAATTAGATTATCAAAATGGTAAGAAAGTTTGCGATTCGTCACCCCCTTTTCTTTACTGAGCGAAAATCTTTGTAGCTCTAAGGATTTTAATATTTTTTTCCAATATGGAAGTTGTTATATAATTATTCATCATTAAATATTAATACCATTTTAATAGTTTACTGACCGACAATCATCGCCGCTCTAAGGATTTTAATATTTTTTTCCAATATGGAAGTTGTTATATAATTATTCATCATTAAATATTAATACCATTTTAATAGTAACTTCTTATTCTTGTTTTCCCACGCGACGTCCAATTATCTGAAACAAAAAAGATTAGAACAAACCGAATTTTATTTTTCGAAATATTTGTTATTTTTGAAAAAAGGTTCTTGGAGTTTACTTGGTATGGCGCGGGGCAGCGCCGGGTCTTCGGGTCTACGTGGATTTTGCATTCACGATTCTCAATCGGCAGCATTTCTCGGAGAACGAGGGATTTTCAGGGAAGAGGGTTAAATTCACTTATGACGCGCCAGCCCAAGGTAATCGCAATTACATCGCAGTGGCCGATCTCTACAGTCGAAAATTCGCCGATCCAAATGGCGAATTTCAGCTGGAATTGTCGATGGCGAATGTCAGAACTGTCTACACGGCGGAGGTAAAAATTCACTGAAAATAATTTAGATTAGATTTCAATTTAGTCAGGGATGTTGAATATAGAAAATTATTCGCAGGTTAAGCTTCCAACAGGTGTGTTCGTCGGTCAGCCGAAGACGACGAAACTCGAGACGGGATACTTCACGTTTGGTGGATTCGATTGGAATCTGGTGATTTATCCCTATGGGAATAAGGATACTGAGACACGTCCGCAGGAGAATAGATTGAGCGTCTATCTTGTGAGGTTAACAGGCTTTGATCATCGATGTCGAGTAATATATAGCGTAACATTAGGCGAGGGTGAACGGGCAATCGAGTCGGGGCAGATAGAGGATCTCTCCGATGCTGAGGGTCGTGGCTTCGGTTGGCACCCACGTGTTCGTTGGTCTGATATACAGCACAAGGGTGCCCTGCGGGTGTCTTTAGAAATGGTGGAAGCGAGGACAATTTCCGAAATCGCTGTACAAGCACTCGGCTCATCCTCCCTGCCAGCGTCGCCCTGCTACGATCGTGATAAACAAGCCTGGACCATTAGAGCAGATCTTCATTCCGATACTGTCAGATTACACCTCGTCTACAAGGATATCCACAATGTTCCACGGAATCATTTAAGGTGATTAGTAAACATTCACGCGAAGGTTGTTTAATTTTGTCCCAACCCAACACTTCCATTACGTGCTTCATTCGAATCCAGACTAATCTAATTTCACTGTTGGTTTAGATACGTGAGTTGGTCGGCGTACATGATGAGAGGCGATGAACAGGATCCGGAAGCAATAAGTCTGCCTGGTGCGCCATTCAGTCGTTATTACGCACAGGAACCGGCGGATGAGGGTATCATCATGGAGACGAGTCTGGGCGTGAACGAGGTCAAGGACGAGCATTGTCCCTTCGTTACGGACAAGGGTCAAATTCGCATCCGATTAGAATGGAACGAGAGTCATCTTCTATTTCAGGCCACCTATCATAAATACGACGACGTTTGTCGCGTTCACAATCAACAAATGCGACGAGAAATAGCAACATTACAAGCCGAAAATTATCATCTCGAACGTGAACTATTTACATATCAAAAGAGTCTCGCGTTTGCGCAACAACAAAATCAACAGACCCAACCATCACCCCATACAGGACATCTTGAACGTTCCGCCTCGTCCGACACTGAATACGCCTGACATGTGGAAAGCGGCCTCTATCAACAATCATCAAATCGTCTTTATCCAGTTGTACCCGAGACCGATCGTCGTGTTCACGAGAATCTCAATAAAATAATGGATCGTCGTTTAAGTAATGTACAATTACAATTAAGACGCGAATCGGACAATGCTTCAAGAAAATCACAAGAATCGAGAAATTCATACAGTGAAACGGCTAGTCAACGTCAGAGCATTGTTCATCAGCCAAAAATTGGTTCCTCTGTTGAGTACACAACAGGCGAGAGAACTTTTGGCTATGCCATTTATCCACCGGGTCTTGCACAACAAAAAAGACGACGAACATCACTCTGGGAGGCTTTGACTGGTTTGGTGTGCTCATTGGGAGCTCTAGCATCAAGGGCAGCAAAAATGGCCGCCAGACGTAGCGAACCTCTCTGAGGGCAAGTGCTTTTTTTCTTAAAAAAAAATCAGTAAAAATTTAGAGTACTATTAAAAATTAGGGCAAGAGGCCGCTGTAGAATCAGAGGAAAAAACAAGAAAATTGTGTCTAAAGGACATAACCCTCTTTCTACTTGTCAATTGATACACACTAAAGAAACCTATTTTCCTCTAAAGACTTTTTCACTTATCAAAGTTATTACATATACATATTACGACAAAGAAAAATCCTAAACGTAAAAGTCGCTATACGACCACAAGAATTTCTTATGTAGTAGAATTAAATGTAATTAAGTAGGTTTAGCGATCACTCAGAAGTAAACTCAAGTGAGAAAAGCAGTTAGAGAGTTATCGATGTTAGAAGTGAGTAAATTTCGTCGATTTTTAGGCTCGTTTTATCAAACAGCTTGCAGATAAATGTAAATTTCTTTTTTCCTAAACTTTTTTTAATTTTCTTAAATTTTACAAATTATCTATTTGTTCCTTATTTCTTCCGAATAATAATGAAACGTACTTAGATAACCTCAAAACTTTTTTACTCGGCATTTAAAATGCTATAATCACTTCACTACAAACCAAGAGGTGGCGTCAGGTGGCCTTCATTACAGATCTAGTAAATTTTTGTCACTCTAGTAACTTCCACCTTTTCTATTATTTGACTTATTTTAAACTTTAACTTAAATTCTTTGTAATTGATTCCTTTTGTCATTTTAACTAGTAAGTTAAGTCACTAGTAAAAGCAGAACCGGAGACAAAAAAAATTTTTTGAGGTTAGTAGTAAGAATTATGCCGAAAGACGATAAATATTTTTTTTTCTTTTTTTCAGTATTGCGGAAAGAAAGTTTTCGTGTGCGTTAAAACTCTCTGACGGCACAATAACTAAAATGTAGACTATAATATTATACGCATTTAGACAAATTTTGCATCAACTTTAGAAAACTCCCAAATCTTTCATTTTTTTATACGGCACATTTCGAAAAACGGGAAATATAAGCGACTGAGAAAACGATATATATGGGTCTTTAGAGGTAAAAATGAAAACATTTTTTTCATTTCTTTTATCTGATAATTTTTTTTTATATCAAAATCTTATTTATCCGGCAGCGAAAATCGAATTAACGCATATATATTATGGGGAATTGAAAATTAATAAAACTACTAGCCAAATAAATGATAACGTCACTTTTCGAAAGCAACAGTGCCAATATATAAATTTATAAATGTTAACGTTTATCCATTTTTGCCGCGAGATTGACATAAATATAGTTTATGAATGTGGTATATAACAATCGTAAAATTCAATTGAACGCGAAAATATGGAAATTCCATTTTTTCCCCGAATAATGATGAACCAAAAAAAACATGTTTTGAACAAGGTAGATATGGGAAAATAATGTCGAAATACAACAGCGGATTTTCAGCTCATTGATATTTCTACTCGAACGAAGAAAAAAAAAGATAACGTATATATTCCATATACATACACTCACACACACACATTTCGAGTCATATCCGATCGATATAGTGACAAACTGTATATTACTTCTCATGGAAAATATAAATGCATATACAAAGCGCGTAAATAATAAATTCACAATTTTTCAAAATACTCCGCGCGATCAGTTATATCAAAAATCGAAGAAGCGTAAATTTTTGAATGAGAAAAAAAAGTTGAAACTTTCGCCAAGTACTAAGAGTTCTTCTCTGTATTTAGCAGAGTTGTACCTATTTGTACATACATTGTTCTAAAAAAAGTAACTTAACAATTTTTGCTTTTAATTGTGAATATAACATTTTTATATAAAAAAATCGTCATTCATCTTACTATACATAAAATTTTCGTTTCCTACGTTCATTAAAGAAAAATAACTATTTGATAATAAAATTTGATAATTTATAACAAAATACTATTAATAACACGACATGATCAAATATTTACCATTTGATCATATTTTTTTATCATTTATGTATAAATTAATTATTTATTATTTAAAGTTATTCATTTGATAAAATCGTTAAAATAAGAGTATCTTGAATTTATAAATAATCTTTAAGTATTTAAGTTATTAAGATATTGAAAAAAAATAAGTGTTTATAAAAACACAATGATGACAAGTTTTGCCTGTACAATCCATATTTATTGTAACACGTATAAAAATTTACGAGTTACGTGTATCATGTCAGTATAGATTTATACTTTGCTAGAAAAGCTTTTACTTCGATACTCGTTCGTATGCTACACCTTATGCCCTGTGCGCTTTGCTATATAACTATATACTTATTCATATAGAGAGAAAGAGAGAGAGAGAGAGAGAAAGAAATATATACAATAAATATAAGAGTCCCTGAAAAACTATAGTAATTGCTGCTATCCTATTTTGTACAATACGAATGTCTGTATATGGACATTTCTCAATTTGACACTCGGATAATCTGGCTTTCGATTTTTCCCGCACTTCTCGATTGCTTCATTATAAATCATTCTATATCACACTTATTTTTCATCCCAAAAAAAAGTCCCTTTCCTTCCCTTTAGTTACGGAAAAAAATAAGATTTATTTTTCTTCTCATATTGACTCTTTTTTTGTTCTTATTCATTATGATTATTTTAAGACTATTGTTAAAGAAATGTTGACTAGTTTTTAATTTATTTTACAAGAAGTAAGCATATTAATTCTGAATTTAAAAACTGGTAAGTGACAATGTCACTTTTTTAGGACAGAATTAATCTATTCCTGAATATTCATATCTTTACTATTCAAACTATATTTTTAGTGTCTATTTAAATATCGAAACTAGCCCCTAAAATTTTATACTGTTTTAACATTTTTTAAAAATTCTCCCTGTTTCGGTGTAAAGAGACAATGAAATTCATTGTCCTCTTTTGAACTTCCAATGTGGAAGTTGCTAATATAATTATTCATCATTAAATATTAATATCATTTTATAGTAACTTCTTCTTCTTTCTTCTTTTTCCGAACACGATGTCCACTCACCTGAAACACAAAATAAGAGGATTAAAAGAAAAATGACATGCAGCAATTTTTTTGAGATCATTTTGGAGTAATCGAAAGTCGGACAACATATACAAAACAGGGTGTTTTTTGCGTGCAAGCTACCGCTTTTGGCGCGAAAGCTTTGTATACTTTAAAAGGCCTCTAATGAACTTTACAATTTATTTATATATTTTTGGCCATGAATTCACACACAAAAACGCACTTTATCACGGCGTCACAGCAGTATGACAATCGCACACACTTTTTCTTACTCTAAATAATAAGAAAATATCTACTTTTCGATATGTATAGTTATAATGCACGCGTAAAACAATAACACACACGCACATGCTTCACTGAAAAAATGCATATCATTTGCCAATATAATACTATAATGAAAATATGTTGACAATTTAAAATGAAATTCTGAATTTTTATATTAAAAAAAAAAATTATCACACAAATAACATTTTTGAAATTTTTATATCTGTACATTCATTCTAGCGCTGAATAAAATCCTTTTTTTCAAAAATTTTTTTTTTCGTGACAATTTGTCATTTTTTTCCTGTTGCATAATTTTTGTTTCGGAAAAGAATTCTGCGCATGTATGAGAAAATATACGTAAATTTTTTTTTTTGTGATATAACATTTTTTTTAATGTCTCTCTTTTCATGTATGTAGAAAATGTACATAACGTGAAATGATGCATGCATTTTTTTTACGTGAATTGGCGCATTTCAACAAGGTCAGCAATTACTTTTACATTTAACTTTATCTCGTTCCCTTTATACTACATATTTTAACTCCTTTTTTTCTATGTATATATATATATTATATACCTATCTTTACAATATACATTTTGCTACCTTTCTTTATCCATATATTAATGTTTTTATATTATTTTTTATATCTTTCAAGAGAAATATTCTGTCTAAAAAAAATAAGAGCTTACACTGATTTTTGAAAGTCTTATTTTAAATATATTAAAGATCATTTTTCAGTGATAGGCTGAAAACGATTTTATTATTTTAAAAAAATGTATATGATGATAATATTAAATTTTTTAAGTCTTTGTATGTCACGAATCTGTCACTCTTAGTTAAAATGTTAATTATCCTCTTTATAATTTTTCCACTGAATTTAAATAATATTTAAAAAATGATAAATATTAAAATCCGTTTTCAACCGAAATTAACCATTTTTTTCATCCTCTGTCAAGCTCTAGCAAGTTCGTACTTTTTTTCTCCTATTTCTCCCGGAGAGAAATTACAAAGCCCGGAAATGCAAATATCGAGCACCCACTCCACAAGGACCCTTCATTTCCCTTTTTGTAAAAGGAAGCGACAGTTCTTATTCATTTTATCAACAGTATACTCTATTATTAACAAAATTATTCTCTTTTCCGTTTTCAAAAAATTTTGTTCTCTATTTTAATTTTTTTTGCTTACTATGCACCTTAACAATGCTATTTTCTTAATTTATTCTTAGTCTAACATTTTTTGAATATATTTTTTCGTAAGAAAAAATGCTTTTCTAAAGATTTATTAATATTTCTCCTTATATAGCGAAAGTGACAAGAAACAATTTAATCTTATAACACAAAAATACTATATATACAAAAAGTTATACCAAAGAGAATAAAAAAAGTAATTTTAATGGTTGTTGAAAAAGAAAACGTAGAAATGTATAAGATTGCCAAATGTAAAAGTGTTTTGATTCTTTTTCATCTTTAATTATTATGAATATAAAGGGGAAAAAAAAGTTTTTGCTAAGTGTGGGGTTCGAACCCACGCTCCCATACGGGAACCAGAGCTTAAATCTGGCGCCTTAGACCGCTCGGCCAACCTAGCTTCGTCAAAAAAATTGTGAATAGTCACTTATCAATTGGATAGAAAAGCGCGCGCTTTTTTAAAATAATTTAATAAAAAGAGGATCAATTTAAATTATATTTTTCCGTTTGATAATACAAACTTTTTACGGTTATTAATATTTTAGTAAAAATATGCAGTTTAATAATAAAATTTTAAAATGCTGTGTGATTTACAATTTTTTTTTAAATACAAACACTATTCAATCGAAAAAAATTTTTTAGGTAGTTTTTTATTATCTTAGAAAGATATTAAAAAATTGATTTCGACATTGAAAATTATTGATGGAAGGAATATACGTGTACAGTGCGTATTATGGCTTAAAATTGAGTTGAAATTTTAATGACAATATAAACAAAATATTCATTATAATACCTTATTTTGAAAGCATTTTATCAGCATAAAATTGTCTCGAATGTAGAATTTTCATTTTACATAAAACCCTTATTATCGGTTAGGTATATGCGTACATTTATAGCTACTGCATAATTAAACTGATGTTTATTATTATTATCATCATCATCATGATCATCGATGAAATATTGTAAAACATTTAATGTACTGTCAATTTTTATTTCAGTTTATTTTGATTTTATTAAAAATCTCTCAATTTGATATTTTTATTACTATGTATATTTTTAAACCGTTTTAATATAATTATTTTGTCTGCCATTCGACTGCAATTCAAATGTAAATAATCCTTTTTTTGTTTTTGAAAAATGGTTGTGCTGATTAAAAAAGAAAAATAATATAAAATACTATACTAATATAAATAATAATTTATAATAAATATATATTCATCTCAGTATTGTAAACATATATTACAAAAGTACTTCTATATGCAACAGGGTAAATGCATTTAAATATGTATACTTAAAACATTGTATTATATTGACTCGTCGAAATGTCTATACAAAATATGCTTTTGTCAACTAAAAATGGTTCACAATAACTTTGATATTATTCTTAATTTGATATGAATGTAAATTTTTAATATTTTCAATATTCATCACCAGTACAAAAATTTACAAAATGTGGGTCGAGAAATCAGAAGTCTTACTTCATTATTGAATTATATTTACTACTCTCATTATTTTATTTCCTATCCAATAATTAAATTTATATTAATTTCCTTTTTTTTAAATTATTTTATAGATTTACACTTATTTTAGAATTAAAATATTAATACTCCATTTATTATAAATTATAAAATAAAATCTAAATCAAGCTGGCTAAAAATCTATTGTTCGATATATATAAAAAATTAATCTCTATTTGATTAATTTTTCAATTACTTTTTCTTGTAATAAAACTGAATTTTATTGACACACATAATTAAAGAAAATAGTAACCTGTTATACATATATCTACGATTTTAATAACATTTTTCATTCTTTTAGATTTGAAAAATTAAAGTTTGAAAAATGATTCAAAAATTATTTTTCAAAAAAATCCCCTTATTGAAAAATGTTATTAAAAAAAATATTTGTTTTTATTTATATATAAAAAATATATTGATTGTTAAAGAAATAACATCTTATTTATATAATTAACAAATATTTACATATTAATAAACCCGAAAAACATATTTTTCTTTATACTAATCTAAAGAAAACTTTTTTTCCCAAACATTAAAGAAAAAAATAATGTGAAAGTAGAAAATCCGAAACATATGTATACATGTGTAGTACTGCTTTTTCCTTATTAAAAAAAATAATAATAATTAATCCGAGCGCTGACTTCTTTCAATTAATATTTATATGTACGTATAATATGTATAATGTGCGTTCGAACAATGTTGCAAGATTATTAATATAAATATAAGCAAATGGAAAAAATATGAAAAACCCTATAATAAGTGATTACAGTTTTTAATGTATAAAAAACAAAAAATTTGTCTTCTTTCATTGTCATATAGTAATTTTATTAACTATATATATATATCTTGTACTTTTAAGATTATTCTGATCTTATCTATATATATACATATTAGGTACCTATATGTTTAACAACAATTTATTCCTAACTCATATTAAAATTTTTTTTACTTCTTTATTATACATATATACTTTCTTATTTATTTAAATTTTTTTTTGCTTTTGAAACATTCAAAACCCATTGGTTTTGATTTTTGAATTTTCCAATTTATATAAACATACACAAAGCGTCGTTCTCACGAAATGTGTATATCTACTATAATTATTATACTTATAAACCACCTGTGAGTCTGCCTCGTCTTTTATAAAGTTCTTGCTATATTCACGATTCATATTTTTTACTCTTACCCTATTCCCTCATTTTTTTTATTGTAAATTATTAATTTAACGTAAATTTGTTTCGTCTCGGGCGAAATAAAAAATATAGACACAATTCAAATCTTTTGGTATTTATAAAAACAATATTGACTAGTTTTTAGTTTATAAATTAAATAGAAATATTTTACATTTCCTTATCATTTTTACTATTTATAATTAATTTATTTACTTTTATAGTGAAATTTATTGTTTTGAAAACTGTTCAAAAACTATTGAAAAAATTCAAGACTTTTAATCTAAACTTTAATATCGAACTTTTTTAAATGTTTTTACTATTTATAATCTAAAATTGATTTACTTTTAGTGAAATCTATTGCAAATTTTAATACTGATTTGCAATATTGTATACTGCTTTAAAAGTTTCTAAAAATTCTCCTAAATATCCGGTGTCAAGAGATTTTATTGTCTCTTTTCCAATGTTATGGAAGTTTCCAATATAATTATTCATCATTAAATATTAATATCATTTTATAGTAACTTCTTCTTTTTTCTTTTTTTCCCGAACACGATGTCCACTTACCTGAAACAAAACATTAAAGAATTAGAAAAAAAATAATAGTGCAAAAAAATGTTAGGTTATGTCTACAAAAGCTTGAGACAAATAATTTATCCCAATTAACAATTATTACAGTTTTTCTTCTTGCAATTTTCTTTATGAAATTAAAAATGAAAGATTAGAAACGCATTTTAGTCACGATTTATTTGTGTAAAAAGAAATTACCGAATGTATTGATTCTGTTTTTGACAAAAGTGAAAAAATTTCCAGCTCCTTCTAAACAAACTGACATAAAAACTAAAATTGACTAAAAGGCAGTAAACCAATGCAACGTAACGTAAGGAACAGTGGAAACTCCTAACAACCGGCAACTGGTCTTTCACGAGAGTACAGAGAATCTTCCATTTAAAAATCAATAAATTTTTTCTTTCTTTTTAAACAACCACGAGAATAATTAACACATAATATTCAACAATTATTTTTATTTAAATAATAAAGAATAACAAAAATATATTATAATACAAGAAAGAGAAGTGGATTTTTCTAATGACGCGCATGCGTTTCAAATATGCGCGCAAAGCATGCAAATTGGTCGTATCATTTCTCATTGTAGGATCAGTATACAAATTGCCCCGAGTTTATATGTGTATAATTAACAATAGAAGTTTCGTTTTACAATAAGAATTTGTGATTAACGACTCATAAAAAATATAATTGCCTTTAATTTGTGAAATGTTCCCTGACGTAACTTCAAAGTCACGTAGAACAAGAATTAAAGTATGACTTAACCTAAATTTTTCGTCCTTAAAAGCCAGTTGGAAAAATAATTTCATCCTACAATCGTGTTCGTCAGTTAAAAATTCAACTTAATATTTCATAAAAATAAAAATTTGCATTCAGTTAAAAGTACTTTGTGATAATTTTAATGTTAAAAGTGACATATTGTAAGGAACCTAACCTAACATATTTGTGGAATTTGATCTTCAAGTCTTCATATTTAACTAATTTATCATTAGCGTATGTCAAAATCAATTGAAATTGACTTCAAGTTTAATAAATTTTAATAAACATAATTGATCAATGAATGACACGTGCTTTACAATTGAACATTTGTCGCTTTTTTATTACGTCAGCGTTCATTTGTAATATAATTGTGCAGGAAAATGATAAGATTAAGGAAAAAAGTCAATTAACCCCTATCAGACAATTATAATCGAAAGGTAAATAGAATTGCAAAAAATTCTTATATTTGTGATAAAAATAAACCTGTTTTTTTTTTCTTTCCAGGTGTGAAAATGTTGACTCAAAAATTGAGTAATCGACGAATTTTTGTTGATATTTTGGCATTACTATTTGGACTTGGAGCTTGGATTGGAATTAATGGAATTTATGTGCAATTGCCATTGTTGGTAAATAATGCACCTGAAGGATGGTCTCTTCCGGCTTACATGGTGATGTTGGTGCAAATTGCCAATTTGGGACCAATTCTTTACACCTTGTACATTAAGTGAGTATTATTTAAATATTATTTTAATTTATTAATTATTTCACTTTTTTCATCATTAAGATTTATTACCTTATTTGTAAAGAATATTAATATTTCTTTTTAAAACAGTTCATTTCTAGATCAACTTTCACGTAAATGAAATATCAAATTACCGCACAGTAACCTTGTTTCTTATTTGTAATCTCGTAATTCAAGTCTATTTTTAATTTTAAGGAGGAAAACGCACAAATGAAATTTGACGACAAAATTGATAGCTTTAATGATGGAGATTTTTTCCAAAAGAGAATACTAACAGTGATTCTTTTCCACATTTTATAAAATGGGATGAATTTGATATTTTACATGTTGAACCAAATCTTAACAAAACGATTATTATCAGAAATGTTTTTCATAAAAAAAGAAGGAGAAAATAGTTTAAATAAAATGACTGACTTGGATAATTTTGATAAATCGTACGAAATGGACTGACTTATAATTTTAGATCCAGATACTAAATATATAAAAACGTACATTATACTTTTGATCTTAATTTCCAACTTTTCTTAAAAAAGTAGCCCTACCCTCATGATTTAAAATAAAAATCCTTCGGATAGAAGTTAAATTTCGGAAAAGTAGAAGATGTTATGGCTAAATAGATAAATATTATAAAGAATAAAAACGTTTCGCAGATATTCGTCATGCATTGGAGATCAGACGATAATCTACTGTCTCCTGGGATCCGCGGTGGTATCAACCTACGCCCTCTCATCCCTCTACGACAAAACATCGGGGATCTTTGGCGAGGAACACTCCACATTCCTCCTGGGACTGATGTTCATCACTGCCGTTGTCGGTTGCACAAGTTCAGTCCTCTTCATGCCCTACATGCGAAACTACCGCGAAATATACCTAATATCATACCTCGTAGGTGAGGGTTTAAGTGGTTTTATCCCCAGTATCGTTGCCCTCATCCAGGGTGTCGGTGGTAACCCCAAGTGCGTCAACGTCACCAAATGGAATTCCACTCTTGAATTCGAGACCCATTATCCCGAACCACGTTTCACGACGAAAACATTCTTTCTATTTCTAGCAACCTGTTTGCTTTTATGTTTCGCCGCTTTTCTAGGACTCAATAAATTACGCATCGCGAAAGGTGAACGAGTACGTCCTCTAGATTGTACCGAAAATCTACCAACCGATATGAATGCACCGCCGAGCTATAAAACAAATACCCTGTGGACAATGTCTAGGAGAACTTACAAAAATCTTCTGATAATGATGGGACTCGTTTGTTTTCTAGGCAACGGAATGTTACCAAGTATTCAGTCATTCTCATGCTTACCGTATGGAAATATCGCTTATCATTTAACAGTGACCCTATCCTCAATGGCTGGTCCCCTGGCAATGTGCTCGGGTTTCGTCATCAAAAATCCCCAGATTAAGAATCTTCAAGTACTGACCCTACTGACACTGTTGTTATCAATCTTCGTCTTCTTTCTCGCACTAAAATCGCCAAACCCACCGTTACAATATTCGTGGCTCGGTGAAATGATTGTCGTCATTGCTTGGGTCGGAGTTTGCGGACTGATCGGTTTTATTAAAATGGGCATCACAACTTTATTCCGTCCGGATCCGGGTAAGGGCCTCTATTACACCGGGGTCGCCACTCAAGTTGGCTCTCTCATTGGAGCTTTAATTACCTTTAGTCTAGTCAATTATGTTCGACTCTTTGAAACGTACTCTCCATGTTCCTTACTTGAGAACCAGTGATTTTTTTCCATCTCACTCTATCATTTTTATAGTTTATCATTATACTTTATAATTTTTTAGAATATTATGTTTCAAATTTCGGGAAATTTTTTACATATGACCCACCGGAAAGTAAAACCACTTTTCGGTGGCTTATATTGCTTCCTCATAGAGGAAGGATTGCATATTTTAAAAATCTATTGCAATCTTCTGTTTGGATTGAATACTTTGAATCTTCCTGAAAAATTTTTCCTGGCTACGAATTGTCAGGGAAAACAACTTCGAAGGTTAAAATTTTTTGTTGCCTTTGACTTAATATCGAATGTTATTTTCCACTTTTTCCGGTGATATAGTTTATAGTGACGTATTGTGAAAAAACGGCGTATACTTAAGATTGAACCAAAATTATGATTTTAGGCCTCCTCCAAATAATTTTTTATTAACTGTACTATTTTTTATTATTACTACTATTATCATTATTATTATTATTTTTTGTAGTCGGAAGTGGAAAATCTGCAAAAGTTCAAACGCCTGGATTAAATCCAAGATTTTGTGAGGATAACCGCTCTTGTTCTGGTCGACCCTCTAAAAACCACTTCCGTCTTACTCTAGACTATTTTTCAATCCACGGAACTATTTATTACTAGTACTATTTTTATTATTATTATTAATATTATTATTTTTAGTTTTTACTATTATTATTGTTATTATTATAATTATTATTTATATTTTTACTATTACAGGGTGGTCACAAGTTTCAGTTTATTAGTTTCCCTGACAATTTACTGACATTAAAATTATTTTCCCTAACAAAATTGTTTTTACAGGAAAATGTGAAAGTTTTCGGAAAATGAGTAAAATTTATAAAGTTTAATAATTTGTAAAAATTACAATTTTATTAACCCTTCCTGAATTCAATTATTTTCTACAATTTTTCTGTCAAAAATTTGTTTTCCTTGACATTTTCCAATCTTTACCAACTTTACTGACATGTGGCCACCCTGTTATTATTAAATTATTTTTAGATCTGAATGCTTATCGATCTGACGAATAATTAAGAAAACAAAAAGATTAATATTAGTCGACATTTTTCAAAATTAATGCCGTACAGAAAATTTTATACAAAATTTTTTTTAATTTTATTTAAAAAATGCCGAGTTGTTTAAAAAGAAACCTATTCGCGATTAGTTGATCATATTCAGAGCAAAATTAATATATTTCCGTATACCTATAAAGAATTGTATAATCTAGGTCATTAGAGAAAGTTACGAAAAGTCGTATTCCGAAAGAAAAGAAGAAACAAAAATTTAACTTTAGTTAATTCGTGAAAAATTTCTTCCTAACTGACTACTATGATAATAATAAATTGATAAAATTTTTAAGCTCGTGCGCACAAAAGATGCGCGCCTTACAATATAGAAATCGTGTCACTTATTGAAATCTTGTTTTGAAGTTGAAACCTCCTCAATGTGAGTGATCCCCAAAATAATTGTCATTTTCGATTTTTTTTTTCAATTTCGCTTCTTTGTATTCTGTTTTAATGAAATTTCGAGAAAGAAAAAAGAAGGCCAAGAAAAGAATAAGGAAAAATGAAGATTATTGAAGAGAATTAAAGAAAGAGTGCGGAGAAAGGAAACAAGACAAAGAAAGTAAGGAAAAGTAAAAAAAAAATAAGAAAAGTAAAGAAAGGTGAAGAAATAAAGAAAAGTGAGGAAAGTACAGAAAAGTGAAGAAAGTACAGAAAAGAAAAGAAAGTACAGAAAATAAAAGAAAGTACAGAAAATAAAAAAGGAAGGAAAAAGTAGAGAAAATTAAAGAAAACTAAAGAAGGAAAAGAGGAAAAAAGCGAGAAAAAAATGGTCAACATACAACTACAAGAAAGATTCTTCACAAACTCCTTAATAGTTCACATCCTAATCACAACATTCGGCATATCAGCATGGCTCGGAATAAATGCAATATTCGTGGAACTTCCAATTTTAGTGAACACCACCAAAGAATGGAATTTACCAATGTACATCGTCATAATGGTACAAGTGGCAAACATAGGTCCACTATCATACATCTTGGCACGTAAATTTGGTTTTAAATTCCACGAATCACGCTGGATATTCAGTATGCTAATGTTTGGTGCAATTATAATGTTGTTATTGGCATTTTTCTACGAAAAAACACTAACCTACAACAATAAGGAATATAATTTTGTTCTCCTTCTAGTGACATTTCTCACAGCTCTTATCAATTGTTCAAGTTCACTCTTATTTATGCCCTATTTACGTTATTTTCGGGAAATTTATCTCGTCTCCTATTTCATTGGCGAGGGTCTCAGTGGAATATTGCCGAGTATTATTGCCCTAATTCAAGGTAGTGGAAGTTCGGATTGTGACAATAGTTCTGCATCATCTGCACGTTTTACTTCGAAGTATTATTTTATCGCAACTTTTCTCCTGTTGGTACTGTCACTGGTGGCTTTTTTTCTTCTTGAAAAGTTGTCACTAGTTAAGAACGAGAGGATTTTAGAAGAGGAAATAAAGAATGAGGATTGTAGAAGGAAAAGCTGGTCGAAAAGTTGTGAACCTGGAGAAGATGGTGAAAACAGTACAAATAGTGAAGGTAAAAAAGAATTGGAGTCAAACGAACAGAATCATATTGAGTCACTATCGAGTGAAAGGGAAACCGACAATAGAACAAAATTGCAACTATCTTTTAAAATTTATTTATATTTCCTCCTCGGCGTGATGTGTTTGTTGGGTAACGGATTTTTGCCCGGTATACAATCTTATTCATCGCTACCATATGGTAATCAAACTTATCATTTGACCGCGACACTTTCTCAACTGGCGAACCCAACCGCTTGTTTTCTCGTTATGTTATTTTCAACAACCTCCTCGTCAAGTTCGAGGGTAATTAATTCCTTGTCAGCAATTGTATTTGTCATTTGCGGTTACGTAATGTATCTTGCTTTCGAATCTCCAGAACCGCCTCTACAACATTCTGTGATTGGTAAAGTTTTAGTTATTTCCTCGTGGATTTTATTGATAGGACTTATCTCTTATGTGAAGCTCGCTATCACGACAATATTTCGCCACGAGTCGCAGAGCGAGAATCTCTTTCGAATTGGCATTGTCATGCAATTTGGATCGGCGTGCGGTGCTCTCGTTTCATTTCTTTTAATTACTTTCACTCGTCTTTTAAATTCCTACGACTCGTGTGCTGATAAAGTTTAATTTTTTTTTAATTCCTTTCATTCACTGTTTTTTTAAGGATATCAAATTGAGACAAAAAACGAATTAAAATGTTTCTTTCACAGTTTTTTAAATAAACTAACTATTTTTCGATATGAGCAAAATTTAAAAAAAATGAAAATACAGATAGATCGGTACATATAAAGAGGAGTTTAAAATCTATATGAGTTGAGATTAAAAATTGAAGATAGTATCGAAAAATAAAGTGCAAATATAGGGAAAACTTAAAAAAAAATACAATAAAAAGTGACAACATATAATAGTAATGAAAGAAAAAAAGATAATTGCGCGCAATAAAAATAAAGTGTGACTACACAGAAATTCTTATCTTAATAGTATTCCTAATCTTTTCTTAATTATTTTCACGAAAGATTAGAAGTTTTTTAATATAAGTGTTAGAATTTATTTTAAATACCCCGAATAGAAAAATAATATTGACAATAATAATAATTATAAAAATAATAATAATAATAATAATAATAATCCCACGTGAAACGATTCCACAAAAACGGCTCCACAGAAATTCCGTTCGTAATTTCTATACGGAATTCGAAAATAATATAAATAATAATAATAAAAATAATAATAATAATAATAATAATAATAATAATAATAATAATAATAATAATAATAATAATAATGATTGTAATAATAATGATAACGATCATGATAATAATAATAGTAATAACAAAAAAATATTGTAATCTTACATATATCGATATACAGTAAACGAAAAGAAATAAAAACATAAAAGGATCATGATTTACACCCAGAGAAATTGTATATTTGTCTCAGAACCAACTAGACTTTTTATTTGTTTCAAATAAATTTTATTTGGTCTAAATGAAATTTTATTTGGCTCAAATATATGTTTTATTTATGCCGAATAAAATTTTTATTTAAAACAAATAAAAAGTCTAGTTGGTTCTGAGACAAATATACATTTATTTAACTCAAATAAAATATATTTGGTTTAAATAATATTTTTCTCTGGGTGTAAAAAAAAAAAAATATGTTAAAATTAAAACACTGATATTAGCAATTATAAAAAAAATTATCAATCATATTTTTGTAATGACAAAGCAAAATGAAGTGTATGGACTAATATTTTACTGCCATAGTTACATTTGTACATAAACTTATAACGGAGATAAAGACATTTTTGTATGTCCACTAAAATATTCATAATAATTATCAAAATTCAACTTTTACTAAAAAAAATTTTTTCTCATATTTACTTACTTAAAAAAATTTTCATTTTTTTGATGTAAATATATTACTTCCACTTTTTTTCATTTGAATTTGAATTTTTGTTTTCAAAGAAAAAGAGAATTTTATAAAAAAACGAGAAAAAATTTTCCATTTACTTAATTTTTTGAACGCAATTTTTCTGTGTGATTACCACATAATATTTTAAGGGAAAAATTGTAATTTTCAATTTAGAGATGAATTTTATTATATAAATAAATATAGGAATAATAGGTAAAATTATTTATAGAAAAAAAGGGGACAGAAAAAGTAGTGAATTAGTAGGATTTAATTTTTATGCGATAAAATAAAGTCCCCTTAAATAGATTTGCAATTTGTAGAAGAGAAAAATATTTTATACTTGTTAAGCGAAAATATCAGGGATGTAGAAATTATATTACTATATATGAATTAAATATTGTTATTGTGATTATAAAGTTTTATAAATAAAGTATTTTGATCAAATTGAAATGTTTCTTATTTTTTAATTTAACAAATTCGACTAATTTTGAATTTAATTAATTTGAATAATTTTGAAACTTATAAATTCGAATAATTTTGAATATAATTAATTCGAATAATTTTGAAAATTATTAATTTGAATAATTTTGAATATAATCAATTCGAATAATTTTGAAAATAATTAATTTGAATAATTTTGAATTTAATTAATTCGAATAATATTCAAATTATTATTCCAAAATAATTTCACCTTAATTTTTTTATGCACTTAGACTTGTATGACTTAATCTTTGAGACAACAATATTCCTACTAGCAGAATCAACCAGGAAACTTAAGTACATTGTCAAATTTTACTTAAATAATCTCATAATTATGCAAAAAATGTAGTTTTTTGCAATTTAAAGTTGAAATATTCGCGCCCTTTTTGCATAGAATTTAAAACGTTCCAATTGGATGATAATAATTCGCGCGGCAAACTGACAACCAATCATTGTTTTTTATTAAATAAAACAAACAAAAAAATGGTTTTTTTACACTTTTTAACACTTTCTCAAAGTTTTTAACATTTATACTTATTAATCTTTTCGAAATGTAAAGATAATTATATAATCGAGAACAATTTGCATATTTATAAGGAAACATTTATAAAAAAAAATTTGTTTGCAATTATTTTAAGTGAATTCAGTTTCAATTCTTAAGTACGAAGTTTAAAATTTAGCTTTTTAAATTTATAACATAAGTAATTAATTAATGAATAAATGTAAATAAATAAAAATTATTATTATACATAAAGAAAAATATAAAAAAATTAAATTCTATAAATATAAATAAATGAATGTAAATATATATTAATTAATTAGTTAAGATTTAGTAATAAATAAATATATTATATTTATTTATTACTAGTTCATAACCAATATATTATTTTATATTTTATAAAATTATTTTATGACATTAATTAATTAAATCATGTCAATTCATATTTTATAAATTTATAATTAATAATAATTGTGTATTATAATTTCCAACGCTTATAAAATATTAAAATGACGCAAAAAATGACATTTAATGATATCTAAGTGTAAGAAATGATAAAAATTTCGTCAAAAACCCCTGAGGCTGTTATAAGAAATGATTATGAGAATAAATTTTAATTGCAACGATGATGAAAAGTTATGTTCTCAATAAAATGTAATTTATTAAAATGGGTAATAAAAGAAAAGAAAAAGGTTAGGAAGAAAAGTTGTGCGCACGCACCTTTCATTGAACAAGAGCAACACTACGTGAGGCATGTAAAAACATCAGTTCAGATGGTTTTATTGTAAACAATGAAAATCTAAAAGAGAAAGAAAAAAATAATATTTACATTATGTTTCTATATTATATTATATTAAAAAAAATAAAGTGTTAATTACTCAATATTATAAAAGACAACAATATTAAATAGATGAAAAACGGAAAAAAATCAACGAGACGAAAATATATTTCGTTACAATAATAATAATGTCCGACGAAGAAAAAGTAAATGTTTCACATGAAGACGAGGAGAATTGTCAGGATGAAGGGACATTTTCTCTTTCTCTTTTGGATTTACCAGTCGAAGTAAGTAAATTGATTTTTTAATTTTACCACAGAAAATTAAAAAATTTTTATTCTATTTCAATTATTTCTCTCCCTATTGTTTTTATTATGATATAATAATCTAAATATACTTTTTTTTTGAAACGTTTAAAACCTTTTATAAATGAATCGAGGTTAGTAGGCCTTGTTTAAAAATAGAATATCCTTTTATGGTACTGAAAGAAATTTTTTGTAATTATCTTCTTTGTTGTCTCTTATATTCTTTGATTAAAAGTAGATTTGATTAAAACATTTAAAATATTTTTAAGATTTTAAATAATTTTTTCTTTTAATTTTACTTATTTAAAAAAAAATCTAGAACTTTTGTAAATTTTTTTGATTTTTAAAAAATTAATAAAAAATTTACGGTCCTATTTATAATAGAAAATATTTTTTAATTTTAAAAATTCATTCATTCATAAAGTAAATAGAAGTTCGAGTTGTGTATATTTCTGTTTGACATTTATCAGCTGATCGGTCGCCATTTTTAAATACCACATGTATCTTTAGTCTGTTTTTTCAAATATTTAATAAGATTAGGTATGGACTGAACAATATTTGGTTTTAACAGAAGTATTTCGATATACAAAAATACTAATACTTTTTTTTTGTAGATAAAAGGTTTTTTTAAGGTAAAGGTATTTTATTTTTTCTATCTTTATAGGTTTTCCTTCATATCTGCTCGTTCTTGGATGCAAAAACTTTGGTCCACGGCTTAGGTTTAGTGTGCAAGCAATTTCATGAAATTTTAAATGATGATTCTTTGTGGAAGGTTAGAATTAATCAAATTTGGCCAAATGTCAGGTATCCAACTCTTCCACAAGGTGAGATCTTATGATTTATTCTTAAGGTATTGTAGATAAATTTTTTTAACTATGATTTTTTTAACTATGATTTTTTTTAACTATGTTTGTATAGACGAGGAAGATGAACTATTTTGGAAATTATCGTGTGTCGCTATCGAAAGGCAGACATCACTTTGGCATGATGAGGATTCGATGGAGAAATTGACATTGAGCAATGTGCATTACAGCATGGTTGATGGAGTTCTTCTAATGCATGTAAGTTTAAGTTATTATTTATGTGTAAAAACACATTATATTAATAAATTTCTAAAAAGAAAGCCTCAAAACTTTGAGATTTGATCCAAATAACGGAGGATTTAATTGACCTTTGAATCTTATCAAGAAAACTTATGCTTCTATAAGCAGTGTTAAAGAGTGCTTTAGAATTTAAAAATACGAATCAATTTTCAGAATGGACAACTGTGTATTTCGGGTGCAAGAGATCGAACATTGGTCTTGTGGCGTTTACCAAACGATGAGGACAAATGTGCAAAATCAATGTCAGTTGATTTGGCGCACAATGGATGGATTTGGGACTTGACATCGATAGGTGATACGATTTACAGTTGCAGTTGGGACAAGACAATAAAAGCTTGGGCCTTGTCCGATGCTGGTCTCACCCATTTAACAACCTATGAACTGTAAATATTTGTTCTCAAATTTTTAAACTCTAAGGCCTAATTCCACCAATTCCGATTAAAAGTTAATCAATGATTTAAACCCTAAGGACCAGTTTCACCAACAACGATTAAAAGTTAATCAATGATTAAATCCTCACTCAACCAATCATCAGAGCCATTAAACTAGCTTTAATCATTGATTAACTTTTAATACTGAAGTTGGTGGAATTAGCCCTAAAACTCTTTAGAGATAATTTTTGTTTTTGGAACCATGTCCTGAACTTCAATAGTGGTCCAATTAATCATGTAATTAATTTGTAAGTAATTGATTAGATTTTTTAATTTCTTCCTTGAATTCAGCAGTGTATCAAGAGATCTTGGTAATAATTTTCATGTCAACTAAAATTTCAGCATCTTTCAATTTCTTACTATCCAGAATACATTCCTCTAAAAACACTCCTCTTTTAATCAACAAAGCGGAATTATAGTAAAATTTATGTTTTATTCCTTTTTTGCTTTTTGTTAACAGTAACAGTTTTTTTATTACAGCTATTAACAAAGAAATAAAAATAGTTTTTGAACCCTTTATTTTAAAGATCACTCCCTGGTGCTTTATTGTCAATCACATCGTGTCCGGAACTATCGCTATTTGCAACAGGATCATTCTGCAAATCTGTCGTTTTATTTGACTCGCGAACTGATTCGAAACCAGTGGGTATTTATCAAGCACATCAAAGGGCTGTCATTGGTCTGGCAATGAATTCCAATTACATTATTTCTGCCAGTGAGGATAAGACTGTTGTTATTTACGATCACCGCACACAACGATTTTTAAATAAATTCGCAGTAAGAATACAACTCTTCAACATTTTTTTCTTTTATAAAATAATGATTCTATCACTCGGTCGTCTTTAATTATCTTCATATTTTAGAATTTTGTTCTTTTCTTTTAAAATTAATATTTAGAACAAGTTAGCTTTTACTAAAACAATATTAATGAAAAGCAACTTCTAAATAGTAGGTAAATTAATAAAAGAAATAATTTTTTACTTTCGACAGATTTCCGACGATTCATTTCCGATGAGTTTGTGTATGCGAGACGATGTCGTTTACGTGGGCGATAAGGGAGGAAAATTACATATTTTAGATCCGAAAAAAAATTACGAATGTGTAAAAACATACGATACGGCACACGATAAGGGAATAACCGGAGTTTATTGTGCCGATGGTTGTTTAATTACGAGTTCAATGGATAAGACTGTGAGGATTTTAAGTCCAACCGATCCGCCGCAAATTATCACGACATTAAATTGCGGTTACGGTGAAATTGCGGGTGTAAGTATTATTTTTATCCTCTTTTATCAAATTTAAAAAAATTTAAATTTATATCTTTAACTTCAAAAAATTTGCGTTTCAACAGAAAAATTTTTTATTCAAAAAATAATTTAAAAACTCATATTAATCTTGACATTTATTAACGAAAAGTTTAAGTTAATCTTGACTTTTATTGAACGAAAACTAATGTTTTGAAAATAAAAGTTAATTTTAACTTTAATTAACGAAAACTATGAATTTTTAAATTATTTAATAGCAACTTTTATTTTAAAATATCAAATTTTCCACTCAGATTGATTACTTAAACGAGGTTCTTGCGGTTTCCGGTATCGAGGCAGTTGAAATCTGGAGACCGAAACGAAATACCGAAAGTACATTGTGATATTTTTATTTTGTATTAATTTTAAACTAACATTTTCATCAGAAAACGTATAATAATAATAATTTATATACTTTTTATCAAATGTATTAGATTTTAAGTTGCCCATAAGACTAATATATTTAATAAAGATTTTAATAAAAATTTTAATTTCACATTTCTTATTTTCAATTCAATATTTCAATTCTTACATTCTTATCCTTATTTATCAAATTTTCTTCTTTATTTATAATTTTAAAAGTTATTCTTAACTTCAAATTAGATTCTGATTTCAAACTAAAATAATTTAAAATAAAATAATTATTCCTCCGATATTTGAATATTTATAATGTGAAATGTTTAAATTTTCATATTTTTCGGGGGGGGGGGGGGGAGAGGAATTTATTTTTGTATCAAGTTAATTTTATTTTTGTATTATTTTCCAATTCTTCATTTAAAATTTCGTGTTTTGATATTTTGAATTTAAATTTCCTTTTTTAAATTAATAATTGAAATTTTTTATATTTTTATTTTGAATTTGTTTTTAATTTATTAGTTTTTACATTTTTTTCTTTTTTTTTGTTAATTTTTTATATTAATTAAATTATTTTGTGCTTTGTTACAATTCTTGTTGTTATTTGTTATTATTTATTATAATTTTGTTATTTGTTAATTAAAGTTTCTTATTATTTATTATTACAATTCTATTATTTGTTAATTACAATTTCTTAATATTTCTTATTACAATCTTGTTATTTGTTAATTATAATTTGTTATTATTTGTTAATTATTATTCGTTATAACAATTTGTTATTGTTTTTTGTTCTTTGTTAATTAATATTTGTTATAACAATTTGTTATTGTTTGTTATTACAATTTGTTATTATTTGTCAATTATTATGTTTGTTATTACAATTTCATTGGTTATAAAAAGTTACAATTTGTTATTATACAACTAAACTATTAGTTCAAACAATTAGAATCAACAATATGTCAATAATAATTATTATTTCCTATTATTAAATTTATAATAAATAAATAAAACAAATAAATTTTTTTTATTTGCTAATTTTGATTGAAAATTGATCCAATTTTGCAGATAAACAGTATTATTATTTAAAATAAAAGCTGAGGTTTAGTTAAATTTTATTTATTCAATAATTATCCCGAAAATATTCTTAATTAAACGAAAATAGAAATAATCGAAAGAATGGAAACCTAACCTCAAATTTTATTATTTTCGAATTACTGTCAAAATTGATGTAAAACCAAAGCTACTTTACTTATTTACTAATTTAAATAATATTACAAAACGGATTACCTTCCGGTAGTAAACAAGTCTAAATACTTACTAAAAAAGAGTAAAAAATAACACTTGTTCCTTGTCCTGCTTGCCCTACAGACGACTGCCATATTATGAGATTTAAAAGGCAAAACCGAGTTGAATTTTAAATTTCCCGCCAATTGATTCACGTAGTCCGTGGTGGCGCCACAATCGAGCGGAAGTTACTTTCTGCTAATACTCTCAACTGACACACAAGTTTTTCATTTGTCATTCCAAAAAAATTCGTCAAAAACAACAAACATTTGTCAAAAAATAAAAAATAGTAAAAACCACCAATTTCTACCTCTTGAAAAAAGGTGTATTTAGAATAATTTCGACAATTTTAACAAAGAAAAAAAAATCCTCCAGTAAAATATTATAACATTGATTTGTAATTGGGTGATGCTCCCGGTTTTGTCTGACACACTGGTTAAGAATTGTGGGGGATTTCCGTTTGCTTGGTGAGGTCACAGAGAAGGCTGGCTGCGTTCGTCGTCCGTCGGTGCTGCTGTGCTGTGAGTTGTTGAGCTGTTGAAAAACACACGATGAAAATGGCGTGGACACCGCAAGAGGAAGGTCTTAGACAAATTTTGACGCTACTCAGAGAGTCTCAAAGTCCAAATACCGAGACACAACGTGCCGTTCAGCAAGTATCCTTTTACATAAAATGAAAAAGAAATTATTTAATATTGTGCACTAAATAATTCTAATATTTCTGAATTGATTTAAAATTGAGTGAAATTTTCATCGTGGAAAAACAGTGGTGCTGGTCTGAAAATGAGAACGCGCGCGCGAATTGCATGTCAGGCTCATTTGCGGGGCCAAGGGCGTGCTTCTATTGACAAATTTTCCTCAACCGGTTAAACATTGAACGTTTTTTCATTTTATTTCAATGAATTTTCGATTTAAATGGAAATTATGATTTTTTCAACATGGTTAATTGGTGTTATCATATTGGGAAGGGGGAAATTCGTGTTTTTATTTTTCCAACAAAAATATATAGATATATACAAAACCTTCCGAGTGCGATCGATGAATAGACATTCCTCTTTTTTTTCTCTCGTTATTAACTGAAACGAACGAAATTCTCGAGGTTCACAACGGTTTTGATTATAGTAAAGAGTCGCATATACACGTTTAGCCCACGTGTACTTTTCTTGAAATCGATCCTTCATTACTAATTTTATTTTATTGCTTTTCAATATAGAATTTCCTTCTTTTTCTTCTTCTTCGTCGTTGTCGTCGTCTTCGATTTGAAAAATATTCCGAGGCGTAATTTTTGTCTCCTTTTTCTTTCGCGCGTTGCATTTTTTAGCTGATAATAAATTTTTACTGTTCTTTGTCAAGTTTTATCTATATGTATACATATATATATATAAAATATATACACACATAAATTACAAACTTTATTGATTGTTTTTGTTATGCAATTGAAATATAAAGAGCGGCGTGTGACATTTAGTGAATTTACACTGAATTTGTGAAATTTGACCATTTTTTTTCTCTCCTTTCCATCTTTTCCTTAACTTGCATTTTATTTAGAAACTCGAGGAGCTGAATAAATTTCCAGACTTCAATAGCTATCTTATATTTGTCTTGACGCAATTAAAGACTGAAGGTATGTTGCACGTTTTTTCTCTTCAAAATAATATTGTAATCTTTTTTAAAACTTAATATTTAGTTAAAATACAAAAAAATATTTCCTCTTAATATAAAAATGTGAGAAATTAATAATTCAAATACGAATAAATTTTATTTTATTTATTAACCAAAAAATATAGAATTTAAGAAAATTGTAAAAAACAAATAAAATATTTTCTTTTTATTTATTTAAATTTATTTCTATAAAAAAGTGTTTTGCAATTTTTTAATCAATTTAGAAAAGAAATATTTAAAAAAAAATGGTTTGTTTTTGTTAGGAGAAATATTTTTTCCCCGAATCGTTGATCATAAAGGAAAGTTCACAATGTTTATAATCAACATTTTAGAGGAAAAAAATATCTTTCCATTTAAATTTCTATAAATTTTCCTATAAAAAAGGTTTCGCTATTTTTTAATCAATTTAGAAAATAAATATTTCTAAACAAATAAATAAATTTTTCTATAAAAAGTGATTCGCAGTTTTTTAGTCAATTTAGAAAATAAATATTTGTAAACAAGTAAATAAATTTTTCTATAAAAAATATTTCGCAGTTTTTCAGTCAATTTAGAAAAGAAATATTTCTAAACAAATAAATTTTTTTATAAAAAACTTTTCGCAGTTTTTTAATTAATTTAGAAAATAAATATTCGTAAACAAATAAATTTTTCTATAAAAAATGTTTCGCAGTTTTTCAGTTAATTTAGAAAAGAAATATTTATAAACAAAAAATTGTATCGTTTTTGTCGGGAAAAATATTTTTTCCCCAAAAAAATATTGTGAATATTGTGAACTTGTAAAAAATATTTGGAAAATTTTTCTTGTAAAAAAATAAAAGGAAATTTTTTACTTATGATTTGAACTAATAAATTGATTTTCTTTGAAAAGATGAACCAACAAGATCTCTCAGTGGTTTAATATTAAAGAACAACGTGAAAGCGCATTACCATAAATTCCATCCGGAAGTGACAAATTTTATAAAACAAGAATGTTTATCGGCCGTGGGAGATCCATCACCTTTAATTCGAGCCACTGTCGGCATTTTAATAACAACTCTCGCATCAAAAGGTAAAATTCCACATGAATAGATTTAATGACAATAAAAAGAAGAAGAAATTGAATATTTTTTTCCAATAAAAAAAAGGAAAAAATTGTTTTTTTAAAATAAAAATGGCTTTTTTTAATATTCAACACTTTCTTTCCAGGAGATAAATTTTTATCGTAGTTTAGATTCCAGTTCAGTTTATTTACAAGATTTTTTTATTCTGTCGTTAAATTTTCACTTTTAATTTTTAGAGAATCAGAAATTTCATTTTTTATAGGGAATTTAAAATAGTTTCTATAGAGATTTTGAAATATTTTCTATAGAGAATTTTAAATATTTTATATAGAGACTTGAAAATATTTTCTATAGAGAATTAAAAAAATTTTCTGTATAATTTGAAATGTATTAATTTTTTTGTCAGAGAATTTAAAATATTTTATTTTATTTTCTATAGAGAATTTGGAATATTTTGTTTTTTTTTTGTCAGAGAATTAAAAATATCTTCTTTTCGCAGGTGATCTAACGGCATGGCCGGAATTGCTTCCGGCATTGTGCAACATGCTGGATTCGCCAGACTACAATGTTTGTGAGGGTTCATTTGGAGCGCTTCAAAAAATTTGCGAGGACTCTGCCGAGATTCTTGATTCGGAGGCATTAAATCGTCCACTTAATGTGTTGATTCCGAGATTTTTGCAGTTCTTCCGACACAGTAGCGCAAAAATACGATCGCACGCTATCGCCTGTGTCAATCAATTTATCATTCATCGGGCACAACCACTTATGATTCACATTGACAGTTTCATTGAGAATCTCTTCCATTTGGCGACTGACGATGATCCCGATGTTAGGAAAAATGTCTGCAGGTAAGAAGAAGAGAAAAATAATTTTTAAAAATTCCCTCACCATTTATATTATAATTTCTTTAAATTAAAGAAAAGTAAATAAAGTAAAATAAATTAAAGTAAATAAACTAAAAAAGGAAAAGTGGGAATAAAATTAAAAGTAAAAAAAAGAAACTTCGAAAAAGTTAAAAAAAAATCTTCCAGGGAAATTAAAACAAATAAATTGGAAAAGGAAAAAGTAGGAATAAAATATAAAGTAAAAAAAAGAAACTTCGATAAAGAAAAATAACACTTGATCGAGAAACTAAAATATGTAACTAAAATTAAACAAAGTATAAAAAAATGTTCTATTTCCGAAATAATAATGAAGAATTTTTTTTCATTCCTTTTTTCTAACAAAGTTTTCTTGGTAGAATTTACTTTTCTCTTGGATGACTAAATTCATAATAGATTTTCGAACTCCTCTTGCGTTATTATTGTTTATCTTTGAGTTTATTGACTCCATATTTTAATAGAAATGCTATTCTTTCAAATAATATTGAATTCAGTTACAAAACTGATGCACGCTTGGAAATAAAATTCAACTTTCAACATTTCTCAATTTTTCCATTTTTAAAATTTTTTAGTTGCAATATTTACTTTCTAAATATTCGGAAAAATTGTCTACTATTTATTTTAAAAACTAAACAAATACGAAAAACTTTCCCTTTGCTACAAAAAATTATTTTTGTTATATATTTAATTTCTGAAATTTTTAATCTTTGTATTTATATATTTTTACAGAAAATATTTGTTTTTAAAACCTGTTTCTTGTATTTCAACTATTTTGATTGTTTGTTACATTTTTCAAATGTTTTTCATAACTCAATTGATATTTGTATGAAATATATTTCATAAACAATTTAATTTGCAAATTAAAAAACATGAAAGTTCTTAGGAATGTTAAAAAACATTAAATATCTTTAGAAGAAATAAACAGACAAAAGAGAATTTTCGGAAAAATTATAAAAGATATATAAAATTTGTTTTGTGAACTTTTGTCAAATTCAGCAAAAATAATTCATCTTGAATTAATTATTATAAAAACGATTATCTTTTCGTCTGGGTTGATATAAAACATAGCATTATGATATTAAATAAAAAAAAAGAAGAGGTAAAATAGGTTAATAACTGTTTGTTTGAAAATGTCATATTGAATTATTTCCCGACTGTACAATACGAGTGAATAATTTTACTTAAAAACTCCAAAAAAAAACAATTTCATCAGAATTGTGCTTAAAATTTTCATAAATAAATGGATTTCAGAAACATTTCAAACTGAAATTTTAGAAAATTTAAATTTTCAAAGAACTTTCTCAAAAAAATTATAAAAAATAATTGATTTTATTTAAGAATTCTAGAAAATAATTGAATTAAAATCTTGGAATAATTTTCGGGAAGTAGACATTTTTGTAAATAATTAAATTTCAAACGGTTTCAAATTGAAATTTTAGAAAATTAGTATTTCAAATAATTAGAATTTAGAAAAATTTAAACTTTCAATAATTCTAATTTAGAAATTTTTAAAAATTTAATTTTAAATAATTTAAATTTTGAAATTTTACAAAGATTTTAACTTTAAATAATTCTATAATTAAATTTTAATGTAGAAAATTTGAATTTTAAATAATTTTAAAGTTTTTTAATTTAATTGAAATTTAATTGAAATTCTAGAAAAGAATTAAATTTAAATCTTGGAAATAATTTTTCAAAAGTGTCAATTTTGACAAATTATTGAATTTCAAGAGGTTTCAAATTGAAATTTGAAAGAATTTGAGTTTAGAAATTATAGAAAAATTTGAACTTAGATAATTTGAATTTAAAAATTTTAGAAAATATAAATTTCAAATAATTTGAATTTTTAAATTATAAAAAAAATTTTAAATTTAAATAATTTTAATTTAAAAATTTTAAAAAATTTGAATTTCAAATAATTTCAATTTAGAAATTGAAGCAAATTTGAACTGTAAACAATTCTAATTTAGAAAATTTAAATTTTAAATAATTCTAAATTAAAAATTTTAGAAAATTTACACTTTAAATAATTTGAATTTTAAGCAATTCTAATTTAGAAATTTTAGAAAATTTAAATTTAAAAAAAATCATTTTAATTCAAAATTCTGAAGAAATAAATTTTTTTAAAAACTTTTATTTTTAAATTAATTGAATTTTTGAATGAAATTAAATTTTAATTTAAATTTGAATAATTTGAAATTATTTTAGATGAACTTTCTTTTTTTATTTGAATAATTGAATTCTCAAGGAATTTTGCTAAAAAAATTATTTAAAAAATTATTAAAAATAATTGATTTAGAGAAGAATTTTATTTAAAAATACTAGAAAAGAATTAAATTGAAATTTTGAAAATAATTTTGGAGAATTAGCAATCATTTTGATAAATTATTGATTTTTAAAAGGTTTCAAATTGATATTTTCGAAAATCTTAATTTCCATGGAAATACAATAATTATAATTCAATATGTTTCGAATAATTTTACAATTGAAGATGACAAATAAATTTATCATAATTTCTTTTCTCTTGATTTTTAGAGTGAATCAAAATATTCCTTTTAATTCATTTATTGTTTTCTATATTCTTAAAAAAAAAGAAAATAGAGATGTCAAAATTCTGACTCGGAGAGAGGAAGAAACAAAATATAATTTATTTGTGTCAATCCTAATAATAAATTAGGATTCTAAATTACGAATTCCTAATTATGAAATCCTAAATTATAATTTAATGTATTTAGTTATATCATTTCTCATTTAAAAATTGTTTTTTTACAGAGCTCTTGTTATGTTATTGGAAGTGCGAATGGACCGATTAATTCCCCACATGCACAATATAATTGAGTACATGTTGATGCGCACACAAGATCTCGACGAGAATGTTGCGCTCGAGGCCTGTGAATTTTGGCTCTCATTAGCCGAGCAGCCAATATGTAAAAATGCCCTAGCACCGCATTTAAATACCCTGATACCAATTCTCGTGAAGGGAATGAAATATTCCGAAATTGATATTATTCTCCTCAAGGGCGACGTGGAGGAGGACGAAATGATACCCGACAAGGAGGAGGACATAAGACCACGTTTCCATAAATCAAAAACACACCATACACATCACGCGGCAATGAATAAGCACAATGACGAGAATGGCGGTTGCGGCGATGACAAATACCTGGACATGGAAGACGGAAGCGATGACGAATCAACGCTCGAGTGGAATTTAAGAAAATGCTCAGCAGCCGCACTCGACATAATCGCCAGTGTTTTTCGCGATGAATTACTACCAGTCTTGGTACCAATTCTCAAGGAAACTCTATTCCATCAGGACTGGGAGATAAAGGAATCGGGTATTCTCGCATTGGGAGCGATTGCCGAGGGCTGTATGGTGGGAATGATGCAACATTTACCGGAATTAATACCATATTTGATTGTCAGTTTGAGTGATAAGAAAGCGTTGGTGCGCTCGATTACGTGTTGGACATTGAGTCGTTATGCGCATTGGGTTTGTTCGCAGCCGCACGATACGTATTTGAAGCCGTTGATGACGGAATTGTTGAAACGTATTTTGGATGGTAATAAGCGTGTTCAGGAGGCGGCGTGTTCGGCATTCGCGACACTCGAGGAGGAGGCTTGCACTGAACTTGTTCCTTATCTTGGATTTATTCTCGAGACACTTGTTTTTGCTTTTAGTAAATATCAACATAAGAATTTATTGATTCTTTATGATGCCATTGGAACGTTGGCCGATTCCGTTGGTTATCATTTAAATAAACCGGATTATATTAATTTGTTAATGCCACCATTGATAAACAAGTGGAATGTCCTGAAGGATGAGGATAAGGATTTATTTCCATTACTCGAGTGTCTCTCGTCCGTTGCCACTGCTTTGCAATCGGGATTCTTGCCTTATTGTGAACCAGTTTATAGGTGAGTTAATTTTTTTTCTGCTTAAACGAAAAATAAAAAAATAATTTAGCGCTCCAATGCAACAATTCGTTCAACGCTCGACAAATTTTCGAGCGTCGAACGAGTTGTTGCATTGGAGCGCTCAATTACAAAAAGATTATTTTAAAATAACGAAAATTACAAACTTCAGGGTTGACACAGGTCAGGAAATTCAGGAAAGAGTCAGAGAAATTAGAATTAGTCAGGGAAATCAGGGAATAGTCAGGAATTTTTATTAAAAGTACTGAAAAACTTAAATTTTTAAAATTTATAAGAGAATTCTGAATTATGGTGTCTTTTTTTGTTTGCCTCATAAACTATGAAATTGACAAGAATTCTAATAAAAAACCTATACATTTTTCTAATTCTGACAATAATTTCATTTTAAATAACTTAATTCTTGAAGAACTATCATAAAATTATTACTTAGAAATTATTTAAAAATTAATTTTACTGAAAAATTTCAAAATTAATTAAATTTCAAAAGGGTTGCGCTTACAATCTTCATAAATAGATGAACTTAAAATGTTTCAATTTGAAATTTTAGAATAAATATCAATCTTTAATAAATTTAAGTAGAAATTTTAAGAACAACTGATTACATAAATTTAATTATTTTCCAAAATAATAAACTTCTTCACATAAACTTAATTATGTTAAACATTTTTTAAAAATTCTCGTCAAAATTTCAATTATCTTTATAAATAATAAAATTCTTTTCCGAAATTCAATTATTTTCAAAAATTCCCCTCATTTCAATTATTTTTATTAAATTAATTTCCAAAAGAATTCAATTAAAAATTTTAATAAAAATTTCACAAGAATTTAATTACTTACCAATTTTTTTTATAAATTGTGATTAAATATTTTTTTTAAATCAGAATATTCTGCAGGGTCAGGGAAAAAGTCAAAATTTTGTCTGGAAATCAGGGAAAGTCAGGGAAAAACAAAATTAAATTTTTGTGGCAACCCTAAAATGTGTTAAATAATAATGGAAATTACAAAAAACAATTGTTAGATACAAGAAAGATTTTATTTTTGAAAAATTTGTTTAAAAGAAAAACTAAAGACTGTCTTTTTTGTAGGAGGTGCGTTTCGCTAGTGGAGCAAACACTGAATCAACACATTGCCAATACGCAGAGTCCTGAGCAATTTGAAGCTCCCGATAAAGATTTTATGATTGTGGCTTTGGATCTTTTGAGCGGATTGGCGGAAGGTCTGAACGGTCATATGGAACGTTTGGTTGTCAATAGCAATATTATGCAATTGCTGTATCAGTGTATGCAAGATCCAATGCCTGAAGTACGACAAAGTAGCTTCGCTCTGTTAGGCGATCTTACCAAGGCTTGCTTCCAACATGTTTTACCCTGTATTCGTGAGTATTTATTCATTATTTATTATTACTATTCAAAAATATAAATTTCTTTGTTTAAAATTTACCATCATTTTGAATTTTGAATTTACAATTATTTTATTTATGAATTAAAAAGGATGTATAATTTGTAAAAAAAAAAATTAGAGTGTATAAAAATTCATTCATTAAGAAAATTTTAAAATACTCTAAACTATTCGAATTTAAAGAAAAAAATAATTATTCCATTAATAAATATATTAATATTAAATGTTTATAAACTATTTTACTATTAAAATTAACAATTAATAAATTTAATATAATAGTATTATTAACTATTAAATTAATTATCGTTCACTTTGAAAATATTTACATTTTTAAACATCTATTTTTTTCAATTTTTTTCTAATTAATTTTTTCATTTTTTCAGCTGATTTCATGCCAATTCTTGGGCAGAATCTCAATCCGGAATTCATCTCTGTGTGCAATAATGCAACGTGGGCAATTGGAGAAATTTCGATAAAACTTGGTAATTAATTTCATTTAACATCAAAACTTTAGTAAATGCATTTTCTATCATATTTTTTTTCCTTTTAATTTTTATGATTTGTAAAATTAAAAAAAGTTTTAATTTTTTTAAATATAAAATTATATAATAATAATCGATGCAGTTATAGTTGCAATTTTTAAAAGTAATCCATTATTTTATCACTTATTTTTGTATTTAAATAATTGAATTCTCGTACAACTTTTTTGAAAAAAAAATTGATTTGAAAAAGTATTTAAATTCAAATTTTAGAAAATATTTCAAGAATTGAAAGAATTGCAGTTCTAATTTTTATAAATAATTAAATTTGTATTTAAATAATTCAATTCTTGTACAACTTTTTGATAGGAATTGATTATTTGAAAAAGAATTTAAGTTTCAATTTTAGAAAATATTTGAAGAATTGGATGGAAGAATTTCAGTTCCAATTTTTAGAAATAATAAAAATTATTTTCGAAAATAATTGAATTCCCGAAAATAATTTAAAAATTTGAAACTATTAAAACTTTCAAAAACTTAAAAAAAAAAAAAAATAATAAAAGAAATAATTTTTGATTCTAATCGAAAAAAAACACTTTTTCTCCCCAGGTCCAGACACAAGTGCGTACATTCCGATTATTCTCAGCCAATTAATCGACATAATAAATCGTCAAAACACACCGAAAACATTGCTGGAAAATACGGGTGAGTAAAAATAGAAAAAAAAGAAAATCTTAAAACTTTCGGTTAAGTATTATTTCCACTATAATAATACATTAAAATACTTAAAAGAAGAAAAGTGAAACTAATTCATAAATCTAAATTATTTTTTATCAGAAAATATATATTTTTTTTTGAGATTCTTTTTTTTAGCAAAAAGCGAAATAATTTCTATTTATAAAGGATGGAGTTAAGGTAAAAAAACTATAAATACTTTTTTTTCAAATTTTCAATTACGATAATCCTCGAAAAGGAAATTGAATCAAATGAGACATGAGACCCAGTTATATATATGACAATAACAAAAAGAAATCCATGGCATCATTTTGTCAAAAAAGAGGAAGAAGAAGAAGAAAAAAATTTTCTTTCTTAGTTAATATTTCTTTTTTTTTCAAGTCCCTCGCAGATCAACAGCTCAGAGTTTGGATTTTGTCTGTATACGTTTTCTCATCATTAATCTATATTTATAAATTTTATATTAATTTTCAGTAGTGTGCGATTGCCTGCGTGTGACGAGTTCTTTTTAAAGTCATTTCTCTCTCTCTCTCTCTATTTTTTTTTAATACATAATAATTGTAATCTTATTAGCCACTTCATCGTAGGTTATCATTTTTCATATTTATCAGGTTTTCAATGTTTAATGTGTTTTTATTATTATTATTATTATTATTATTATTATTATTATTATTATTATTATTAGCTTTGTCCTTTTATAACTAGAAACAATAATTTTAAAAAAAATTCATTTTACCTTTAATAATTATCGTTTCTTATAATTTATTTAATTTTTCATTTGTTTTATTTTTTTAAAAATAATTTTCGTTTTTTATAAACATTTTTATAATAATTTCTTTTTCAAATTTTAATAAATTTTATTTTTACTAATTAATATAATTTTTATTTTTTATTAATTAATAAAAGTTTTATTCTAAAATTATTTTTATTCTAAAAGAAAAAAGGAGAAAAAATATGAAACTTCAATTTAACGATTTATAATTAAATTATTGTCTATTGGTATTATTTTACTCAATGAGTAAACAGTCACGATTGTTATTAATTAAATAATTTAATTTTTTGCAAATAGTTACAGCAGGAAATTGAGGACCATTTATTGTTATTATTATTATTTTTATTGTTACTATTTTGTTTATTATTATTGTTATTTTTATTATTATGTACATTGATATATTTGCCTGAGTTTATCGTTGGTTCGCTATCAGTTTGTCTTATTGTTTGTGTTTCCGGTCACTTCACTACACTTCTTCACTTGCCTACCTTACTGAAAACGAAAACGAAAATGACAATGAAAATGTAGCCATAACGATCGGTCGCCTAGGTTATGTGTGTCCCCACGACGTCGCCCCCATGTTACAGCAGTTTGTTCGACAGTGGTGTGTAAATTTATTTATTATTATTATTATTATTATATTATTCTTATTATTAACGTTATTATTATCTTCTATTTATTATCTTACTTACATTAATTCTCTTTCTTCATTTATTCTTAGTGCTTTTTTTTTTGTTTTTGAACTTTTATTATTATTATATTATTATTATTATAATTATTATTATTATATAATATATATACATGTATATTTACAATATTATTATCTTCTTTAGGGGGAGTTGAGTTGATTGTAATTATTCTATAGTTTTCTTAATTTCCTTAATATTTGAAATAATTTGGTTTCAATTATTATTTAATGACCAAAAATTTTGGGACCCGATTCGATATTTCATTGAGACGAAAATGACCTAAATTTTAATTTAAGAAAATATTTTTTTTCCTACACGAGAGTTAATTTTTTTCAAAATCATTTTTGTCAAAAAGAAAAAGGAAAAATTTTGGAAAATTTGTTTTCAAACATTCAAGAGACTTATTGCAATCCACTTGAACTCCGTAATATTTTTTTTTAAACTACTAACAATGCCTCCTGTTTGATTTTTTCTTCTTTCATCTGCAGAGTCTTTGCGCAGATAAAATTTAACAAAAAGTAGAGAATGGAAAAATCAATTCAAAAAACAGAGCAGGCAAAAAGTTTACATTTGTCATTTTGAAACAATCCAAAATTTATTTCGATTTTTTACTGATTAATTTTACTATTTAATTTTTATTAATTATTTGCATTAACTTTGGATATATTATATTTTTTGAATATTAGTACATTTAAATATTTAGAATTTTGATTTATTAATTTTCAGTCAATTTTGTAATTTGTCGATTCAGTGATTTGTTTAAATTAAAATTTTAATAGTTTTTATTCTTTTTTTCTTGCTAAAAAGGAAATTAACGAAATTAAAATTGTTACATAAATGTCAAGTGTAAACTTTTGTGTGTAAAAACATAAATGAAGATGCCAGTCGATTCGATCGTTCCCATAAGAATTTCATGAATCATTGCTTTTTTCCTTTTGCGCCTTGAAAATTAAATGTGCTTCGTTTATTTTTTTTTTCTACAAACAAAATATTTTTATCTCGTTTTTTTTTAATGAACACTAATAATATTCTTGGGTCTAGGAATTTGAAATTTTAAAGAAACAAACCCTTAATATTTGCAATGGCAAATATTTTACATTATTTCAACAAATCGACAAAAATGTAACTAAATTATTTTTTTTCAATTATAAACTACGAAAAAAATTGCAGTAAAACGGTAAAAATTCTATCAAATTAGAAAAGTAGTGTAAATACAACAAATGAAGCAATGAACAAAAAAATTATAAAAAAAGAAGCAAAGTAATCGAAAAGAATAAAAAATGCGATTAAATACGAATTTAATATTATTGGAATTTATATTGAATAATAATTAAAAGACATTAGATTTAATAAAAATTTGGTAACATTTAATAAGAGTTTTGTTAAATAAATAAAATTGTTATTAAACAATAATAATTGGTTCAAATGTAAAAATGTAAAAAATGTACAAAAAAGGAAAAGAGAATAAGCAAAGGAAAAAAGAAATAACAAGAAAAAATTGTGTGAAGCTGAGAATCTAATAAATTTGGAATGTATGTTTTTTCTCGAGAAGTTTAAATGAGAGGTTGAAGTAATTTTTTAAAAGCAAAAATTCTAATAATTATTGTTGGAAATTATAACTGAATATTTTGACTATTTAGGTGTTCATCGTTGAGAAACATTCGCGACAATGAGGAAAAGGGTTCAGCATTCAGAGGAATGTGCCAAATGATAAATGTCAATCCAGCTGGTGTCGTGAATGATTTTATTTTCTTCTGTGACGCCGTTGCTTCCTGGACGAATCCCTTTGAGGATCTTAAAGACATGTTTAGCAAGGTAATTTTTATTTCAATTACAATTATAATTTTACAATTTTGAGTTATCTTATCATTTTTAGAATGAATTTTAAAATATTCTTTAGAGAGAAAATCACTAGAAATCAGGGAAAAACAAAATTGAATTTTTTTAACAACCCTAAAAAATTAAAAATTGTTAATATTGCTAACTAGTTTTAATTCTTAAGAAGACAAATTAAAATTTTTAAAAATTAATATTTTAGTAAATAATAAACAATATTTTTGTTTAATAATAATTTATAATTATATAATTGTTTTATAGATATTACATGGATTCAAGCAACAAGTTGGTACTGAAAATTGGACTCGATTTTGCGAACAATTTCCACCGCAGCTTCTTGAGCGGCTGCACAATGTATATGGCGTTTGAGCGGCCCCGCTTACTTATGGTGAGTAAAAGAAATTTATTTTTTTTCTTTAGAGAATTCGGTTCCATATCGAAATTTTTGTTTCAGCTAAATAGAACTAAATTCCGAACTAAATTAATTTATTTTGAATTGATTAAAATTCGGACTAGGTTTTTTTTAGGGAAAATAAAAGTACTTTTTAAAGAACATAGAATATATTTAAACAAGACCTTTTCCATTTTTGTTGAGAATGTAAAAATTAAAAATTTTCTTTACAGAAAAAGAAAAAAGGAATTTCGAGTATAGAATTAATAAAAAGAGATTATAAATTTTCAGACGGCCGCTTAATGGGGCAGGCTGGATGGGGTCGGGCGGGAAACAGTAAACTGGGTGGACAGGGTGGGTGGGTGAAACCACGGCCTCTTCTTCGAAACGTCGTCGTCGCCGCCGTTTATCGCATCATGGCCACCGTCGCCGACGTCGTCGTCGTCGTCGTCGTCGTCGTCAAAACAGTCTTCATCCCTGGGGAAAAGCAGCTTTCATTCTAGTGTGCATTTTTAAAAAACAAAAAAACAAAAATTTCACAAGACAAAAACAAAAACCAAAAGAAAAAAAAATCAAGAAAGCTGCATTAAAAATAGAGATTTTATTCATCTCCAAAAAAAAACAAACACAGGGAATTTAAAGAGAAAAAATGCGACTAAATAAATGAAAACAAAAAAAAAATATAAAGAATTATATCATTTGTGCTGGCCGAGAAGAAAATGGGAGGGAATTTAGGAAAAATAAAACTCACGAAACTTGCAATTGGGAGGGTTAAAAAAACGGGTGGGTTGAAAGGGTTTATTTCGAGTCAATACAAATTTTCTTTTTATGTTTTTGTCCGCTAAACAAAAAGGTATCGATAATACTAAAATCTAAGAAATCGAACATAGATACCTTACAAGCAAAAAAAAAAAAAAAAAAATCAAGCAGCGTTAAATATTTTGTATTTAAGTGTTTCTGCGAATCACAGAAAATATTAATTTCTGTATTTATAAAAAAAAAAAAAATTTCATGTCACGATACTGACAAAGCATTATAGCATAAGCTGCTATCGTCGTTGTTTCTAAGATCTAGATTCTTCTTTCGTCTTGGAAAAATTATTTTGTAAGACAACAAGAAAAAAAAAGCCATCGAAAAATAGATTTCACGTCCCATAGAAAGAACTAAGTGTTTGAATAATGAAATGACAAATTAAATCAAATGGACTTTTTTTTGAATTTTTTTTTTACTTTTAATCGACGTAGATATAAATTGACTTCCTATTTCTTTTTTCTTTTCTAAGTCATTTGGCTCAGTTCTTTCCTTTTCTTTTCTAAGTATTTAAATAATTTTTGACTGAGAGAATAGTTTCTGATTAAGTAGTTTAAAACGGAAAAAATCTTCTAGTTGCTAGAGTAAAATATAATATTTAAAATGAAGAAGAAAAAACGAGGGTTTCGTCAGCAATGCAAGTATTTTTATAGATTAAAATAAAAAAAAGTTAACAATAAACCCATTTAAACTAAAAAAAAAAACGCATGAAAGTGCCATTCCGTTCCAAAATTTTCACTCCGCTTATTGTGATACTAGGTTACTTGTGATTCTGCTAATTGTGTGATGAAAATTTATTTCTCAAGTGTGAAAGAAAAAAGAGGGACAATGATTTTTTTTAACTTTGTAATCACTATTATTATTATTATTATTTTTTTTAACTTAAGTGTGCATGGAATAGTGCACAGGAATCTTATTAATTATTGTTAGTATAATTATTGATACTATAATTGTAAATAGAAAAAGCATATATTTTTTTTTAATTTTTTTTTATACTAGATACATTAAAATTTTTACTTATCACACATACACATACAAATACACACATTTATTTATTGAATAATTATTAGTCAATTGTTTTTTTTTTATTTTTGAAACAAAAAATAGAGTTTATACAAAAAAAAATAGTTCTGAGCCAATATAAATCATAAAAAATTGAACGATAATGTGACACTTACAAAATTTTTCTATTGACGTGAAATCTATAAACTCAATGGCGTAAATTCAATTCTTCAATTTCTTTTTAAAGAAAAATGATGCAAATTCAAAAAAAAAAAAAAAAATAACAAGTTACCGCAATAATCAAAACATCAAATGAAAGATAAATGAAAATTTATACTGTATTTTTTTTCTAGAAATTTTAATAATTTTTTTTGATTCAAGGTGCGGATTGTTTTTTTTTCTTTTTTTCATTTTCTTATATATATAATAAAAAAAAATATATATGAATATATTTGTTTCGACTCTGATGCGTAGAAAAAAGAAAAAATTGAAAAGAACACAAAATGAAACGTGAAAAACAAAAAAGAGCTCAACATTTGAAAGAAAAAAAAAAGTTTGGAATATTGTATTATTGTATTGCGTAATGGATGGTCAATCATTGAGAGTTGTGTAATAGAATGGAAATTTACTTTCCATTAAGAAAAAAAAGAATATTGAAATAATAAATAAAAAGTCAGCCAGTGTAAATGACTAGCGCCAATCGAGTTAGACGCCCGAGAAAAAAAGAACATTCAGAAAAATGGTATTCATCAATCTCGCCTCAAATATTTTTGTCGACCGAAAGGAAAAGAAAATTTATTTACAAAACTAAAAGAGGTAATCAATTGAACAAAATTTTTGTTAATCATTAATTATTCTTTGTAAAACCGACAATTATTCATAAACTATTTTTTTCATTAGTATTTTTTCAACTACTAAATAATTAATTAATGAATTAACTAATAAATAATTGGCGTTCCTAAATATTTTATTAGTTAATTAACTAAAAAAAGAAGGTTAACTAATAATTAGTTAATAAAAATTAATAAATTTACTAATAAATAATTAGTTAACTAACTAGTAAAAAATTAGTTAATTAACTAGTAAGTAGTTAATTCAATAATTAATTATGAATTAATTAATCCTTGAATAATATCGCAATTATTAGTTTAAACATAATCATGTAATTAGGAATTGTCCAATTACTAAGTAATTATTAATTAATAATTGCAGGATTAATTAATAATTAATTATTTTATTTCAATAATTCATCTTTTCTCAGTAATTAATAGTTTTTTTAAATTAATTAATTATCATTTAATAATTTAATAATAATCAAAAGAAAATCAAATTTTTACGTGAATTTTGAGAAGAATTTATATTAAAATTTCTCTGTTTATTTCAATTTTTTCCTAGTTGATACAAAGAAATAAATTTTCTTTTTGCAAAATAATGGAAGAAAATATTTCTTTTTTAATATTTCCAACTATTTTTAAACTTTTTTTCTAATAAAAAACGATTTTTTCTTTTTAAACATTTGAATCTTGGAATATTTTCTTTTTTCGATAATTTTTACTTTTTACAGTGATTTTTATTCTTGGATCAATTTTTTTTTTACTTTGAACCTAAAAAAATAAAATCTTCTTCGCATGATAATTATTGTTTTCTAATTTCCTAATTTTTTAGTGTTAAATTTTAGAAAATTAAATTCTAGATATTTTCCCAAAAAAAGGAAGCAGAAATTTTCTTTCAAAAATACAGAATAAAATTGTTTTCTACAAAAAAAAATTGAACAAAAAATACATTTTTAAATAATTTGAAAATCAAAATTTTCTATATTTAGTTTCCCGACGAGATTTTTTCTGTACCATTTTTCTCCAAAAGCGTCATTGCAAGAGCGAAGAAAAAATTTCGGAATTTATACACAAAAGAAAGAACAAAAAAAATGATTGGATGACTGTGAGTGCGAATGAATAATTAATGCGTATGTCTTTTATGCAAAAATTGTGTCCGCTCCCGACTTAATCCAACGCGTTTGTCAATATTTCTAAATATTATTGTCAAACTTTCGAAAGAAATCCCACATTGGTTCCTTTCCCTAGCACTGCTTGCGCTACTTTTTGTGATATTACTGTTTTTATAAATATTATAAACGTGAAATGAAGAAAAAAAAGGGGGATTTTTTTTTTATTAATTAAAAAATCGATTCCAAAAAGAAAAAAAAGCCACATGTCTCCAATATTTGTTCCTCGCGCGTTGTTATCAAAGAAAAAAGAAAATAATGCAGCTTGCTGATAAAAAAAAAGAGAATGATGAATGTCCGTTTTAAAGACTTTTTCGCTAACATTTAAGAGAGTTTAACTTCTAGTCGTTTAATCAACAGTAATAATAATAATGATGTAATGATATAATGATAATTAACCTGGGCTAGTGAAATCAACTTTTTTTAAGGGGGCACAAGAGAACAATTGTACAACTCGAGTTAATTTGAAAGAGAAAAAGGTTTTGTTTTTTTCTCTTGGAAGAAAATTTTTACCTCATTTTGTTATAATAATTTGCATTTAAATAGGTAATTGAATTAATTTTAGTTTTTTCATCTTTCTTTTTTTTGACTTTGTTATTTATAATTGACTGAAAATATTCTTCGGGGACAAAAAGTAAAAAAAAAAAAAGAAGCTTGCGGCATTATTATCGTGCGAAAATCTTAGTGAAATTTTTTTAGTAAATTCACTTTTTTTCCGATTTAAATATTTTTGTTACTTTTTTTTTGCCTCTTTCTACATATTTTCAATTTTTCCCTTTTTCTGTAATTTTAATTAATAAAATAAAATTTTTTTTGTTTCATTATTGTTTTTTTTATTTCATAACAATTTTTCTTTTTATTTATTTTTTCCATTTTTTTAAACATTTATTTATTCTTATTTTTTCGATTATTTACTTTTCTTCTTTCTTTTTTTATGTTTATTTGTTTCTCTTTCATTAATTTATTTTTCCTTTCTTACATTTTTTATATTTATTGAGTTTTATTTTTTTTTTTAATTATTTTTTTAATTTATTTTTTTATTTATTTTTTTTTATTTATTTTTTTAATTTATTAATTTTTTTCTTGTGCTTTGTATTTTCTTTTATTTATTTTTTTTTGTATATATAATGTATTTTAGTTTTCCTTATAAATTTTTTTAAAGAGAGACAAGAAAGAAATTCGTCAATTTTGTACAAATTTTCTTTGCGATTGCCAATATTTTTGATATTATCGACTGAAAATAAAATACAAAGCAGTTAAAAAAATCAACATTGAGGGGAATCGAACCTCCGATGATTACAAAAATGCGATGACTTTACCAACTGCGCTATTTTTGACCACCACCTATTTCGAAAAGTAAAAATTTCAATTTTGCATTTTTTTCAAAAATAATGCATCCCGAGGAATTTTTTTTGAAAATTCGCCTATTACTACCAACAAATTTTTACTTATAATTTAATTTTCAACAAAATTGACGATTTTTTTCCTGAAAATCAAGTTTTATTTCTCTTTGAGTATTTTAGTTTCTTCAAATTAAAATTTTATTTTTCCTAGTTAAATCTTTTAAAATTAATTTTCTTTCTATTTATTTATTTTTTTTAATTGTTTAATTTTTTATTGTTTTTTATATTTTTATTTTTTTTACTTAACTTTTATAATTTTATTTTTTTATTACCATTTCTTGTGTATCGTTTCCAAAAAAAACATGGTGTGTATATATAAAAGAAATCAGACTCATAATAATAAAAAAAAGAGAAAAAAAATATAATTTTTTTCTTTTCTAACTAGAGAGAAACACGCGCGAACCAAAAGAAAGCGCATTTGTGATAATAATTGATTACATCGAGTTTGTATTATAAATATACTTTGAATAGTTCCTAAGAGTCATTGATGATTGTAATAATAATATTGCTTTTCTCAGTGTTTTTTCTATATAAATAATACGAATATTTCTATTTGAATAATTAATCTCGAATTATATAAAAAAAAGAAAAAAAAAGAAAAAAAAAAATGAAACGATCAACAAATTCGAATACGCATAGAAATTTTTTGGAAATTCCATTCGTATTTTCATACCGTGTGTACTATTGTAAATAATAATAATAATAATATAATGAGCGGAGCGTTTATACTATTGAAAAAAAATTATTTGGAACATGTGGCTTTCGTTTTCAAACAAAAAAGTCATATTCATTACCAAAAAAAAGAATTATTTTTCTTTTTTTTCCTATAAGAATTTTTTTGAGAAAAATTCCAATTTGCACTTATGAGTACATTATAAAAAAAATGTACAGAATTATGGGAGTGCATCGGGTTTTTTATTAATATTATTGAGGGAGGGAAAAAGTAGAGGCAAAGAATAGAGAAAAGAGAAACACACAAAAGTAAATATATTGTTGTAATTTTATTATTATTATTAATTATTATTATTATAATTATTATTGTTGTTGTTGTTGCATGAGAGTAGCTTAATAGATTTTTTTAACCATTTAGAAAGTGGTTGGAAAAAATGAAGAAAAAAAAGATTAACATTTAATAATTCTTAATTACTGCTACATTGTACAATTTATTATACATACAGTGTGTATTCTATTTAATCGTAACGTTTTTGGTGCAGGCAGCGTATAGGGAATGGGTTCCTCTCCTCCTTTGGGAAATTATCTTAATTTTTTTCTCTTCTTTTTTTTAATTGTTAAGACTTGTTTCAATTTTTCTTTTAAAAACTCGTGTAGATATAGATAAAAAATAATAGATTTATAAATATTTATTGAGAAAAAAAGGAGAATTTACAATATTAGAGAAAAGTATACTAGTCGATGGACCTAAATCAATTTTTTTTCTTATTATTTTTGTTGAAAAAAATTTTTTTATACTTTTTTGTTTAAAAGAATTTTTTGACAAAATTATTTTTTGTTTAAT